GGCATTTATATACAATCGATGGCATTAATTTGAATATTTTCCAGAGAATAATATACAATTTAGTTTAAAATTACAGAAAAGATAAATCAAAAGCCGAGGATCAAGTAAAACAAACAATGAATCCCAATAAAATAACCAAGTGTTTCCAGTAGGAAGGTGTTACTTTACTATTAGGGGACAAAGAATTCGTGTATCATTAATAATAAATGACTTTTAAACACGATAAGATCAAAAAAAGTCAGGGTGTTTAAAGAGAATTTAATAGTGTGAGAGCGAAGACGGATAATTAGAGACACAAGAAGTGACTTTACCTGTTTCTTCACCTAAGTCATTCTTAATTATCTTTGTCTTTGCGAATGGTACAAAGGATCGTGGTGTCTAAATAATGCAAGTATCTTCAGATTAGAAGTCATAACTCTCTTCCACCCCCTTCGCGGGGGGGGGGTGTAAAATAAGAGGATTAACCCGAATCCTTTTAGGTTTTGGTTCGGTGGGATAAGGGAAAGCGACATGTGTGAAAGGTTTTCTATAGTAAAATGGTGCCTATTTAGGTGTCTAACACCTAAATGGACCCTCCACGTGACCTAATTTGCCGCAATTTATGTCATCCTTACACAATTGAATCTCTCAACATCAGAATTAACCTTTATCAAATTAAGCTCCTTTTTTTTTAATTAATTATTTAACAAATCGAGTTCCTTAATGAAACTGGGGATCACTTAAACTTTAACGAATGATCGACTTTATATTAGATTATCCCGCAGACAAGATGGCGCGCGGGGAGAGAGAGAGAGAGACAAAACCGAAGATTAATAATGATTGAAGGTGGCCAAATTCCTCCTCTTACGCCTTTTTTTTTATAAGTCCAAGTGCCATCCGGAACACTCGAAACTTTTAAGTACGGACAGGAGAGAGGCATTTAACCCAAAATTAATTCCTGTACTTATGGAGTTGCTGAGTCAGAAGAGTCTTAAAATTACTTTCAGCGATGTCAAGAAGGGAGGAAAAAACGGTGAGTATTCTAGGAAATTCACCATTTTCCTTCAGTGTTTAACCCTTCCCTTCCCCTTTACCTTTCCCTCATCATTCACTTCACTTCCCCTTCATCTTTCCCCTTTACTCCCCTTCACATTTCCCTTCACTGTTTAACCCTTCCCTTCCCCTCATCATTCACTTCACTTCCCCTTCATCTTTCCCCTTACTCCCCTTCACATTTCCCTTCACTGTTTAACCCTTCACTTTCCCTTCATCTTTCCCTTCACCCCCTTCACTTTTCCTTTTCACTGACCAATGATAGATTCAAGCAAATGGCTGGAGGAATGGCAAAAATTGGGGCATTATCAAGATTTTCCACGTCGCCGATCGATTATTTTTTCGACAGGAACCACACGCGCACGGTTTATTGCAGAATTACACACGAAAAACACTGCATTAAGATGAGACGTACAGTACGTGGTAGGTGTAGCTACACATTATGTATGCATGATTCTGGTGCTATATGTTGGAATGCCGAGACAGATGAGTGATGGGTGTAGGGGGAAAAAATGCATTATATATGTGATCTGTACGTTTACAGTAGCGTGAAGAGTCAGGGTGAGGTTGAAAGAGCGATTGATATGAATTAATAGTGTTGATAGACACGAGAGAATTCATAATGGAAATTGTGTTCATTAGTACACAAGTTGATGATTTCATCCCTGTGAAAAATCAATTGCCACACGTTGCTTACATCAATTACTACGCGGGAATTTTAATTAATCACCCCCTCCCCCCGAAAAGAATGCGCACCCGGCAAATTAAACTGGTGGCACGCGCGGAAACAATAAAGGCCTTCTTCATCTTACCTTTACGCAAGAGAACTCGAAGGTGTTCTTAAGCCCTGTAGTTATTACTTTATGGCGAAAACGTACGTGTGTTTGTCGGTACGTGATCTTTCGGACTTGCCTTTAATTTGGCAAACCCAATTTGTCGATAGTCACGTGACCCGACTAGAGAAATATAGCAATTGATTTGTGGAGGAAGAGCAACAGATGCTAGAGATGTATACTTTCTCACGTGTAGAATACACAAAATATTAAAAGCCAATTAAAATAATAACTTGGCAGTTAATTTCTGATGTTATTGGAAATATTTCGTAGGATTTCTGCGCCAGATCCTTTATTACAGCAGCATAAAACGATGTGTTTTTTTCTTGGAAGAGCACAAAGTATGTGTTATTATGATAGAACACTATAAAAGGCATAAAAACATCACCTTTCATCGGTGGGACACAAAAGGGAATATTTCATTAGAAGGGCACAGAAGGGTACTTTTCATTCGAAGAGCACAAAAGGGAACCTTTCATTGGAGGAGCAAAACAATAACCTTTTAATGGAGAGACACAAAAGGGAATATTTCATTAGAAGGGCACAGAAGGGTACTTTTCATTCGAAGAGCACAAAAGGGAACCTTTCATTGGAGGAGCAAAACAGGAACCTTTTAATGGAGAGACACAAAAGGGAATATTTCATTAGAAGGGCACAGAAGGGTACTTTTCATTCGAAGAGCATAACAGGGAACTTTTCATTGGAGGAGCAAAACAGGAATCTTTCATTGGAGGAGCAAAACAGGAACCTTTTATTGGAGAGGCACAAAAGGGAATATTTCATTAGAAGGGCGCAGAAGGATACTTTTCATTCGAAGAGCACAAAAGGGAACCTTTTATTGGAGGAGCAAAACAATAACCTTTTAATGGAGATACACAAAAGAACACTTTTCATTGGAGGAGCACAAAAAGAAACTTTTATTGGCGGGACACAAAATGTCACCTTTAATTGGAGAAGTACAAAAGGACGTCCTTCATTGGAGGAACACAAAAGGACAGCTTTTATTGAAGAAGCACAAAACCATCTTTTCTGAAAGAGCACAGAATATGACTTTACGTCATTAGAGCGCACAAAATGATAATTTTCCCTACAAGAACACCAAAACATTCATCCGAGTTCGCTTAATTGCATCCAACTCGTATTAATAAGTCATTATTATTCATTACAAAACGAAAACTTACTCTACGTGTTTCGTTTTATTATTATATTATATTTCTTCCAGGCGAAGTTGGAAACTCCGAATTACCCTTTCGGCATTAAATTACAAAGAATTCTCAGTCGAGTTTTAATTTACTGCATACCACACTCTCTCGTTTCGTAACCGGGAAGGGAAACCAGTGTGTTACTCTTATTTTTATGGCTGCAATCATTCTTCCCCATTCATCTGTTAATTTTATTTTCGCTCCCTGCCAAGGTACAGTGCTCCCTCTCGATTCTTTCATTGAAAATTCCCCACCTCTCAACGTCTTTTTCTCCCTAAACCAAAGCAAAAACACCACTTTTTTCACAGAGTACAGAAGGGATAAAGGGTATCTTTGATGTCTCAATCGCTCTCCACTTTCTTCAGAGTGGTTTCTGGCTCTTCTGATCTGCTTTATCACTTTAAAATCGACTTTTTGACTTGAATATTTGCCGTCCCGAGTGATTTGGCCCCCTCATTTTTATCGAAATTAATTAAATTTTCAGTGTTTTTATGCATCCCCGTTTAGAACTTAATAATTCTTTAAAATATTCAACTTCATTATCATGCGCTTTTGCAAATAGATCACCTTAAGTCAACCTTGTCGGCTATGCAAATAAGTCTGGGATTTTCCTCTTTTGAGCTTTTAACTACCTTCTACGCTGATTTTGCATACATTTTCAATGCCCATTATCGTTTTCTTGCACCCAAAACACTTCACCCACCTCCAATTCCTCATTAGTTCTGATTAAACCCGTGAAGTTCCCAACGTTGCATCCTCCCAGCCCCTGTGCCACGAACCCAGAGCGGCAAACGTAACAAACGAGATAAAATTGTTCACGTAAACAACGCTAATTAGTACAGGGGGTGTAGTGAACGATAAACACCAGCGATAAATAGTTAATTAAGCGCAAAATACGTGTGCAGAAACGTTATATACGAGCCGAAACGTGGTGGATATCGTCCTGTACAACACAGGCTTTATCTCAACGATTGCTCCGCTACATTAATGTACGTGTGTTAACATAATGCGGTCTGCTTTTGGTTGTACGAAACACACAGTACATTTTGTAACACACCAATTAGGACCACGTTAATATTCACTCCACCTTCCATCCCACGCGTAATTGTAATTGGCACAGTTGCCAGAGTTAAATAAATCTAGCAGAATCTCTGGATGGAAAAAAAAACATTTTAGGGGAAATTTCATGGGCGAAATTATCCCAAATACCCGTTATTTACTGTTTTTTTTCCTCCTAGAAATACTCCCTAATAAACAAAATCACGTGAAGTAGCGTGGCTACTCTTAATGCTTACCATATGCATTGCCGGGTAGCCCAACAACTGGGGGGATTGCGTGTTTGTTAGAGTCATTTCTGTTTGTTTTATCGTCGATATTTTGTAGGATAGTAAATATTTATTGTTAAATTTTGTATTTTATTGTTATTTCGGTCGTCTCGCAGCACCGATTTTCTTTACGATCATTAAAATTACTCAGCTTAATTGAGATTTACGCACTCGAAACTTGCTGCTGCTTGGTCTCTTTCAAACCTTGAAACTGCAGTTTTACAGCTTTTCTAGTAAGCTAAAGGGGTCCAAGCGAAAATTACAACTGGACCCCATAAGTAAGGTAAAATTACACCCCTAAAGGGGGTTAAAGTTTGCTCTTTTAAAGCAAGAGAGAGAGAATTAAGACCCCCTTCAGGGGGTGATATTTCAGACCCCCTTAAGGCTCGCCCCGTATAAAGGGAGGATCTTAATTTCTGCTCCTAATACGAGAGACTAAAATGGGGCACTGGGGAGGAGGGTAGAAGAGAGAGTAATTAGAGTTGTCAAAGGGTTTCGACTTTAGAGGAGGGGGGAGATAATGGAAAATTTCGACTTTGAGCTACCGGGGAGGGTGGAATTCTTAAAGAAACGAATAATAGACGGGAGCAAAGATTAGAGAAACTCACCAAAAATCCTCGCTACTTGCCAGTATCTTTACTTATCCTCTAATTGGTCCTCTTAGACGATTATCCACCACCTTTACTTCCACGTGTTTCCTGTAGCTGACAAGCTCCCATCCTAGTCAGTCGACTTCACACTGAAACCTGAGATACGCTTGTTGCTCGAATCTGACGTCACGCGCACAGCTGACCAATGGCGACATTCGTTACGTGCCTTCTTTATAAATATATATATATATATTTTTAAATCGATATAGATAAATTCTCATTGGAAAGAATTTCGGGGGGCAACGCTGTTGACAGTACTGTAATTGGATACAGCACGTTGCTGATAGTGTTTAGCACAAAGAGGAGAAAGGAAACTGGTGAAGCGTGGGGAGGAAAATCAGTAAAGAAGTTGTGTGACGTCTGAAAGGGGAGAGTCAAATCTGCATCGTAAGCTGTTTGTGTAGAGGTGGGAGATTTTTCAATAAAGGGGATGAAGGATGCGGAGGGATGTACAAGCGCCCAGGTGAATGAGTATCATCTACCTGTACCGGTCGACACTAGACTCGGTCGGATCAATAACTCACCCTTTTTCCCTCTGTAATCTGATTGTTTTTTAAATCTTATGCCTTCTTTTAACGCACTCCCACCAAAACGGTAGAGGAATTTGAAGGGGAAAAAAAACAAATTGGCCGAAAATTCCCTGTGTTTTTTTGATATATTCCCTATTGTTTACTGATCGATTTTTATGTTCCTCAGGAAACTGACGAAGAAGAATGGTACAAAGAATGGAAAACTGGAAGAGAAGAAGGGTGCGGTGAATAGAAATTAGGAAGGAAGAAAGACGGGGCGAAGGAGAAAACAGGTAAGAGAAGAGATTAGTGTGTAAAGGGTAAAGGATATCGCGTGCTAAAGTGCATGAATAAAATATGTGATGGGGGGATTTAAAAATTTAGTACACGGGGAAAATGAATAAAACGTCAAACGGGATTGGCAAGTGGGTAGCGAAATCGACAAACAGAAACGATAGAAACATATAAAGAATTGGAAAAAGAATAGTGTAAAGCACACAGAAAAAAAAAGAAAACAAATGAACTGGACAAGTACACAACAAAAGAAACTGGGAAAATAAAAAGAAATAACCTGTATAAGTCAACTAAAATAGAAAGAGTAAAGAGAAAAACAAGTCCTTTTATACAAAGAAAACACGCTCTCCGCTAATTTCTAAGGAACCTGTACATTGGTTTAAAATGGTAAACAATACGCAGCTAGTTGTATTCAATTAAGCAAAAATTAATTAGCAGACTTTAAACAAAATGGCAGCAGTGAAACACTAGTTTTTTGGTGTTTGTGTGCGTGGAGAGACAGGATAATTGCTCTCCGCTCATTTTACACGAGCTACTTGCTATGCACTCATTTTACACAGGCTACTTTCTCTGCGCCCAATCTTACACAGGCTACTTGCTCTGCGCCCAATCTTTACACAGGATACTTTACACTCATTTTACACAGGCTACTTTCTCTGCGCCCAATCTTATACAGGACACTTGCCATGCGCCCAATTTTACACAGGATACTTTACACTCATTTTACACAGGCTACTTTCTCTGCGCCCAATCTTATACAGGATACTTGCCATGCGCCCAATTTTACACAGGATACTTTACACTCATTTTACACAGGCTACTTTCTCTATTATACACTGTATAAACAGCGAATATTATACAGGACACTTTCCATGCGCCCAATGTTACACAGGATACTTTACTCTGCACTCATTTTACACAGGTTACTTTCTCTGCGCCCAATTTTACTTGCTGTCCACGCAATTTTGGTAATGGTGCGCAGAAATCTTTTGCGGACATCGAAACACATCTGAACTCGCCATCAGAACGGATGTACAGCCAGACCGACGAAATGTGAAACTGCCAGTGTATTTGACACATGCCAGTGCATTTTCTGGTATCGGGAGCAGAGAAAGAGTAAGAACTGACATTTACCAAAACAGAAAAGTCGAGACTAAACATAAACAGAAAATGCCAAAGTCAAAGGCAAACAGAAACAAGTGAAATTACTCTTAAGTTGCAGAGAACATACAAACACTGTATAAACTGCGAATTAAAACGGGGAAATAAAAATGGAGAAAAGGTGTCGAGCGTGTGACGTGAGTAAACCTTCCTCCCCCTCCGGTGTTTGAAGAAGAAGGAAAGTAGAAAGGGCGTAGGAAACAATAAAAATGGAAAAGTAATTTAAATAAATGTCAGGAAGATGTCACGTGTCGTAACTGGTGTATCGGAAACGGCAGAGTTTTTCGGAGCAGCTATTAAGGGGGGAGGGATCAAACGTTGCAGAGTTTTTAGCGGGAAACATCAATAGTAAAGGAGGAAAGAAAAATAATACATATAACTTGATGGAAAAAGGTAGAAAGTTTTCGAAAACCGCTCGTGGCTAAAACAAGGAATTTGTGCCATTGAATACCTACTTTGATCGATCGTCGCGCGTGTCACACCTTCCACATTAAACACAAACCACTCTCGTTCCCTGAGGTATTCTTTTCTCTACAACTTATATTGACTTTGAGAAATCTTTGAAGCTGCGTTACTCCTACAGAATTAAAAGTGTGCCGCTTGCCTACGCCAAGAAGGAAATTTATATCTTAGAAAAGAAACCAAATCTTTCCTAATGAGATTGGTAATGAGGTAGGAAAGCAGCGCCGTTTCTTCCCTGGTTTTTCTTCCGCAGGGATGCGATTGACAGCGGTGCCGAGTTATTCGATCGTTAATGTCATTAGCAGATGGGATGTACGTTGCTGTGTTTTCCTACGAATAGAGGATACTTTTGTCAATAAGTTAATACCGTGGTTGGTTTAGTGCAGTGTAAACACTTTGCTCGTTTCCTCTTCTACGTGCCGGACACGTAAATCGACGATTTCTGATTATAGTGCTACGTCTTTCTCGGTGTGCAAGGTGTTACTTTTATGAGCGCGCTTACCACTTACTTTACATTCATTTTTACTCCTATTTAGTGTTCACTTTCATTCTTAACATCCATTGTATTTTACACAGGCTGCCTGCTCTGCTCCCAATTTTACACAGGCTGATTTCTGTACACTCCATTTACTTGCTCTGTATCAACTTACACAGGCTGCTTTTTCTACTAAATCTTACACACACACTTTATACTCATTTTTACACACACTACTAATTGTTTTTCCACAATATTATGCCTTTCTATTCCTCATCTCCAAGCATATTTCTGCATATCCCGTAGCTAAATTTGCACGCGTTATACCTAATTATATATATATAGAAAGATACACTTGAAATCGCCAACGTATCGATTGATGATGATCGTACTACTCTATGAATAATGTAAATTATATAGAAGGGTGCTCAGAAGCTGGTCAGATTTGATTCACACATTTATAAAGTCACGTTTAGATTATTAATTTCTAATGTGTAATTTTGATATCACGCTTAATAAATTCTATTGGAACTTATCACATCTTAAATTAAATCTGATGGACGTTTCCGGGGTTTCTGTCGTTAAATCGATGAGGCAGTGGCTCAGAACTCGGTTAACTACTATCAAGACACCAGTTTTACTCGTACACTTACGTTAGAATTGGCTCCACATTCTGGGGCCCCAGTGCAAATATAAGTGGGACCTTTGTAGTACAATGGTAGTGTTGGTTGGCGCCTGGAGAATTTGATACGTGATTTCAGGGTGTTGTTTACGTATCTAACACATAAACAGGGGTCTGTTTCCCACAGAAAGTACACTAGGAAGTTACCCCCTTGGCATATCGCTCATCTTATATTGCATTCAAACCAGTGTTCAAGACACGGACGCCCTGCGCGTTAACCAAGAGCACGGCCCCTCTAAGCCGATTCAGTGCGAAGGTCGCACACTTAACACACCCCATTTCTGTTGAGCTCACAAATTACAACCCTTGGATGGACAAATTGCCAAATTTCTTGCAACCGACTCTCGGTCCACCCCGCCCTTTGCTACGGCGTGGGTCCGAAAGACAGTTAACCACGTATCTAAGAGGGCATTTTGTAATCACAGCAAATTGCCGCAACCTGCTTAACACGGAAAGGATCTTTTCGTACCGATCCCGTATCGACAGATGGTGGAAATTAACAGGTTTGCATGAAAGCAGGCCTTGCGTGATGGCATTCTTTTTATTTTCCCCAATGAATAATGCAAAAGAAAATATTTACATCGAGGCAAATTAGAATTTTACGCGCGTAACGCCATTGAATATTTATATAGGTATATATATATATTATATCTCCAGAGATTTTTTTTATAACTTAATTTTCCATCATCAGCAAGTGGATGGCTGCCATCGTTAATTTCGTTTAAATATGTCTGGAAAAAGCGCAGAGAAATCTTAATGAAGTAAGAAAGTAAATTGCCTGGTGGTTACGCTTTCCAAGGCAGCAATTTTATCATCATCGTCGTTACGCCAGTAGTAAATAATATAGAAATCGCCACATTTTGGTACGGAAAAGTTGAAAAATCCCACAGTAAAAAAAAATACTAATGCCTCGTGTAAGCTCCTGGAGGATTCAAAAAGAATCTGCTGCTGACATGAAAAATTAGGTTTTAAAGCTGCCCACACTTACTTAAACCCTTGTTAAAAGCGTATTGGCCAGGATAGGGATTTTTCGATACGGACTTATACAATATATTGCAGATTTTCCTTCCCAGAAGTTTTACGAAATGAAACTTTCCACCACAGACTTTATCCTCCATCAAACGGGTGTTTAGTTCGCTTTAACGACAGGCGTGTAAAGATCACGACTGCCCTCCCTCTTCCGCATCCGGCATGCCTGTCACGTTCGCTCAAGGAAACACCTGAAAATCTGCGAAATCGCAATGTATCCCGCTAATGAGGTGGGCGATATCGTTTATTAACGACTGGCGGCACGAAAACGGCGAGCTGTATCGATTAAACCGTTCTTCTTGCAGCCCGGTTCCGTCTTTCCGTATCGAAAATTGTAATTCGCATCACGAAATTCGAATCTAAGCACATTTAAAACGTGTACGAAATCGTGCGAGTGCATAAAATTTGCTGTCACGTAAAAAAATCGCTCCGCCAGAATTGCGAGTCGCTCGGAAAGTGTCGCGCGACTCGCCGAGCGATAAAATTAGTAGTTATCGAAGAAAATTAAGTATTTTTTTTCCCCCTGTACTTTTACTCGAGAAGTGTCGGCAAATGTGATAAAGGAATAGCTTAATCTTTCTACTGATCTAGAAAATAGGATTAAAGAAATGTTACTTCTTGAAAGGAATATAATCTGAAGCTTAGATGATGCATCAAGTTTGAAAAAGTACAGAAGTTAAATTACGTTAAAACTTTGTTTTCGTGGCTTAAAAAGTTAAAAAAAAAAATAATTTAACTTGACTTATAACTGGAAAATTTGCTGATTAATCTCTGGATACGTCACATATCAGCGGTAAAGTAACCAATAATAAAAGATGTTACGTGTTATCAAATAAAAAAAATCCAACAACGAGTTGGGTAACTTTCCCGGCAGACGGTTAAATTATGCGTGACGCCATCTGTTAGATTTTTTTAAAAAATTATACTATTAATTATTATAAAATAGCAAAAAGCTTAATTTTGGGGTAGAGACATAAAAAATTGTATAAACAAGTCCGATCCCACTCGAGATGTGACAAACGACCTCCTCTATCTCCCCACCCTCTCGAGCTTTAACCACTAAAATCTATCACCATCGATGCCCCTAATACCTTAACCCCCCTGCCAAATTTCGGAAATTTTCGACAATAGGCACGGGAGTTATTAAGCTTCAAATTTGGTGAACAAACTCGTGCCCTCACACCACACAGAGGAAAACCACAGCTTTTTTTTTGGCATTTCCCGACTTTTCGAGGAATCCAGTGCAAAAATATGTCTTGGGGTGGGTCAATTTTTGACTGATCGCCATACTTTCAACTGTGTTACACACAACAGCCAGTAAAGTAAAATGGAGAGCTCTTGTTTGTCATCGTCTTAAAAGGTTTATTTTTATTGGTTGTAGCTGTATTTGATGAAAACATCCAGCAGTTGACGTTTGCGATCGATTTCAAAGCGCTGATTTATTTTTAACAACCAATTCAAATGTAAGTACCGTCAAAGAAGCTAAGTTTGTTTGTAACATTATCGCTATCAGCATAAAAATCGCACGATTGTAAAGTAAGGAGTGGATAAAAGTAGCGAACGGTTCTAAAAAATTCATTGTAGAATCCCGTTTTCTACAGAAATGTCTTAAAGGAAAACTGACAGACAAAGTTCCAAAAAAAAGAGATCAAGTAAATAAGCTTCAATTGCTTAATGCTGCGCACAGACACACGAGCACATAAATCTGATGCAAGAGAATTGAAAGTAACGTTCTCCGATTCTCTAGGGAAATAGAAAGACATGTTTTTTCGTGTTTTACATCAAATTTTCCTTCAAAGGCTGGGTTAAATGAACTGGATTTGGCTCTTCGTAGCTTTACTACAGTAAAACCTGTGTTAAAACTGCGGGCCTTTTTGGATATCGAGTGATGTAACCCGAGTAAAGCGGAATTTCTTCTTCAAAACTCCTAATTAATGATGTAATTTGAAACGAGGCATAGTCCACTTCTGGAAGAATATAAGTTGCAGTTTCTCTCTCTCTGTTACAATTGTAATTATAGTCAGGAAGGTAACTGTGACAACAACACAACAGTTATTTCTACTCAACTGTCCAGAAAAGTTAAGATTCCATGGATACTTGGGATTTTACTCAGCTTTTTCTTCTATACCTCACAATTTTTATGTTTCCAATACGTCTTTGAAACAAGAAACACTCGGAGCAGCAGCTGAAACATTTTTTAAAACTCATTTTCTGCACATTAACCCTGTTAGACAGGTTGCTAATGTAATAAGTCAGCATTAGATGCTGCCCGTAAAGATTAAAAAGACACCTGTATAAAATGGCACAAATAACACCGAATGGAAGCACGGTCCTGTTTGAAATGCGTGCGAAACCGCTCTGAAAGGCACAATGACTTCCATTGAAACATCCTCCATAGATTCCAGCACCAATACCATTATCAGTTTTAAAATCATCCATACACCGAACTAGGTCACGACACTAAAGTCAACTTTGCAGATGCCAATCAAGAAGAGTGAAAGGAAACTTGGAGACTCTTATCAAAATTGAAACTAGATAACATTTATTAGACCGTATTAACAGATGTCCTCCTTCACGGTGTCCTTCAACAGACAAAAAACGGCTCATAAACTTTGATCTCATAGTAGTTTTATTACATTTAAACCTGAAGAACCCTCCTCTTGTGTGTGAGAAATACAAAGCAATCGCGGCGCCAACTCTAAGGGGTTAGAAACAATTCAGCCCCCAAGTTGAAAGATAAAAATTATCATCATCCTCTAGTTTTGTTGAGATAAAATTATATCATTTTTTCTCAGATTTGCTTGTTGCATCGCAGCGATTAAATCGCACGATTTTATCGTAGTCGTAAATTCGAAAGCGAGAAAATCCCAGTTGTTAATTAATAGAAGCGAGAAAATAACCACCATAAAATCGTACGATTTTATCGCTCTCGAATTAACAACTACCATAAAATCGCACGATTTTATGATAGTTGTTTTAAGTAGAAAGCGAGAAAATCGCACGATTTTATCGTTGTCGTTATTTAACTCGAAAGAGAAAAAAAATCGCGCAATTTTATGCAAGTCGCAAACACGAAAACGAATTTAAAAAAAAAATAAAATCGCACGATTTTATCGCAGTCGCTAACTAGAAAAAGCGAGAAAATCGCGCGACTAAATTGGCATTAACAATCCAGAACAATTTTTTCGATAGCCTACAGTCATTTTACGCATCACTCGCGACAGCAGAGTTAAAGAAATATAAAAGAGGGGGGAGAGAGAGAGAGAAAAAAAAAATTGAAACTCGCTTCTGCCATCTACTGTTACGCAAGTTACTTTAATCCGATAAATTCGCCATGTATTATTCAGCTGGAGGTAGAATTCTTTGAAAGATTCAACATCTTTTAATCTACCGAAACCTCGATAAAATTTTCAAGCCAAGTAACGGACGTTACGTTACGTTACGAGGAATGTAGCCGTATATATCTTATTACCGATTACATTCTCGGCATCGGGTCCATACAGGAGGAGGAGAAAAACTCCCTCAGGACTCCTACCAAGTTAATTCATTTCGGATGAACACACAAAAGGTTCCATATATAGAAGGGCAATCTACCAGACCACAGTTTAGTACAATTGATGCTTAGTTTTATTGTGATCCGGTTGCAACCCTAATGGACTTACTGTATTCGGTTACTGTTACTGTTTTCTATCGATCGGAGTGACGTTGCATCGTATTTAATCGTTACGTACGAAATTGTTACGCTTCTAATAAACTACACGCCAGTTTGAAAAGGACAATTTCCGACTGGCATGGCCGCTGGGTGTTGTGTTTTTGTTACGTCTAAACCCCGTAGGGAGGCGCTTATTCCTACTTTCAATATAGAAAGATATTAAAAAGTGTAAGCCTGTTTAATAATGTTTTCCCTTTCGGATATTGAAAGTGGGGGGTGGGTTTTCTTTCATACGGAGCGGTGCAAATATGGGAATTATTACAAGCAGCTCCACCTTTTTTTTTCTTGTGTACCTCCGCCAGCGGGTTACCTAGTGTTTAGTTAATTCTGCCACGGCACTCGAGTCTAAACTTTGCCAAATTTGATATTAGTCTTGGTTAAAACTCGATAGGGTCACTTCACCCGAATACAATGCCCACCCGATTTACGATCCTCACACACAAACACACTGCAAAATCGATAACTGCTAACGATACGTCTATCCGTTTCGTACGTGTGTAGGGCGAATTGTTAGGGGGTCGAGTTGTGCACAAGTGTTTCTAATGCACAGAACGTGGGCCCTTAAGCAAGTAATGGTTCAGTTTAATGCTTAAAAATATTATTTATTTTAAAATACTCATCTTATGCAACAATAAGATACCATACAAGTAAGGCCACGCGCAAAAACAAGAAACGAAATCAGCACCCACCATTCGCCACTGCTGACATCTAGTGGGCGAATTTACTACTAACTGCCTCACGTACAAATATTTTACCATTTAAATCTTCTTTTATTAAGTATTTACAGGAATCATCGTCTTCTGGCTCTTGGGCGTTGTTCCCAACTGAAAAATAAAACATTTAAGAATTAAATAGTCAATAGCCGAGAGGAAGACTACACCATCTAACACCAAATAAAGCACACTAGTTATCTTGTTTATTGCAAGCTTCTCTTTCAATATGCATGTTAGCATCAAATGCAAGTCACCACATGTACACAAAACTCTGATTTTGTGGTTTTGCAGTTCATGCATTAATCAGAGATCTCAACTATAAACTTAAAAGAGATGATAATTCCACTAAATCTCTAGTGGCATTGTTTTAAAAGCATTAGTTTACTATCTTAAGGTTTAGAGACCGTCCGACCGTAGCCTCTGGCAAGATGTGCTCCCTCCTCTGCCTTATAATTTATTTAAGAATGTTTTCTGTCGGGTGGGAGCCACGTAGAATGTCAAATGAGACAACGGTAAGGCTTGCCGTTAATAAACTCTAACTAATTTTTAATAATTTTTTTGAAAAGTATTTGGAGCAGAGATGGCAAATTTTGTGTTAAAACCTACAGGACGGCAGAAATGGAATTCCTACAAGACAGAGCAACAGAGTAATCAAAGTTGAATAAAGGTGGTGAAGATGGAGAAGAAGAAACTTCAGATAACAGAGGAAAACAAGTTGGAGTGGACGTGAAAGATGAGTAACGGGTTGGGTGCTACCAGAGATGATGTCAAATGCAGGGAGGAGAACACAATGGATGGAAGGAACAAAAACCACACATCGGCTTAATCTCCCGTACAAAGAAAAACCCGAGGCATTGAAGAAATTCACATGCTACTCTCTCAAGCAATTGTATACTTAATCAATAGTGACGACCGTCTTTGTCTTCTGTCATCGAGATTAATGTAAAATTGAAAAGAGGACCGACGAGGGACACGTCCTAAATCATATCCTCGGGGATCAATAAAAGACCGCGTATCCATCTTAACTGCGTGTTCCTATACAATTCGTTCTCTGAAGCAATTGTATGCTTACTCATAACAAAAGGCAATCGAGTAAACATCAAAATACTTGTTTTACTCTCGAGATCACTAGTTTCAAGAATAACAATTCTGTTGTGTAGTTAGAATAATAAGATCATTCCGTTATATCAAAACAATCTCATAGAGAGTATTTGTTTAGTTTGTGTGTATTTATGCTAATATTTTCTAATTATAGTCTGAAGTCTTTGATAGGTTTGGCAAGAGTTTATGTATTTATTAAAATATCATCTCGAAGAAATGGTAACCGAATACCTAACATTCTGGATGTTTCTGGCAGACTTATTTTTTATAAATCTTCGACAACGGAATGACAGAGTTGATATTCCGAGAGACTGCAAACAGTTCCAAAATCAATATTATGTAAGTGTAGGTTCTGGTATTATTATTCTATGAGATAGATTCGAAGAAATAATACCGGAGTCGATTTGATATTTGCAAATGTCTTTGGAATATTAAATAATATTCGCTTATCAGTAAGGAGAGAAAGATAATTGTCCGAAAATTCTAATTGAAAGAATAAATTTATTATTATTCTTCCATATTTAAAGACGAATAACAATTTAGGACCGGACTTTTCAAGCAATTTTTGCATATCGAGGAAGAATTACATCAAATTTTCCAATGGTAAAGTTGTAGGGAATGATGAAATTGGTTTAAATCTCGCTTAAATTTCTCTAAAAACACATTAGAAAATAGTAAGTCTCCTTAACATTTATCAGCAGTGAAGATTAGCTTGCTTCTGTAATCCAAATAATGAATGTTATGCATAGAAGTTTCTTTAACATAATATTGCATCCAAATTTAATTACAGTCGACCCCCCTATAAGATCATTGATTATTCCGTTTTATATGAATTCCATGTTGTACGAGTCACTTAGATTTTACAAATACGTGTACCGGGCTGTGAACGGCTCACGTATTTGTAAAATTTAAGTGACTCGTACAACATGGAATTCATATAAAACGGAATAATCAATGATCTTATAGGGGGGGTCGACTGTAATGATTTGCTCGAAATGCTTTCCTTCAATTGAGCACGGGGGTAAACAAATGATGTCTGCAGTAACTTCTGCAATTGCTAATGCAATGGTGGTTGACAGGAATCTAATAGATGCTATCTTCAAGGAAGAAATCAAAAAGAAATTGTTTCCGATGAGCACGACTGCTATTCCGCAGGTCCCTCTCGACCAATCTGGTGATCCGGAAAAGCATGACATAAACCAGTATTTGACAGGGTGGGATTCTGTTGTGCCATCTGTTGAAATCCAGCAGACTGTAAATCTTCTGTTTAGTTGGAAACTATGCATAGTGTTCCTTCTTGCAGCTGCAGAAACAAGCTATTCTGCTGTAAAGTTGACTTATTGTTTCGTTGTTCTCTTGAAGAAACTTAAGCAAGATTTAAACTAATTTAATCATTCCTTGCAACTTTACAATTGGAAAATTTGATGTATCTACCGTAACAAATAAGATATTTGGATGCCCTTCCGGGTCAACAAAAGGTCATCCAATAGATTTGTAAAACACAATTTACTAAATACAAGTGTCACTTTTGTAAACACAACTTTCACATTTTCAGTTATAGTGTGTTTCCACCTTTATGAATCACCCATGCACGATAAAGTCATAAGTCAGTCAAATTACTTTTTAACAAAGGTATCTAGATACATATAATAGCAAAATATTCATATGGTAAAGCAATTATGCTCTACTAGTTAAGACCAATGGAAGCGCCTCTAGCAGTAAAGTTTGGAAGTTAACATTTCCATCGTGGAAATTATGAGAAATGCAGGAAAATCATAAATGGGAAAGTTGCAACACATCATCACTTTAATAGGAATTGACGTTGACAAAAAACGAACGCTGCAAATAAAGGCTAAAAACGCTACACACAATTTAATCGTTCGAACTGTACATTCTCTCCTGGAAAAGATGACTGTGATATGTCACCACGCAGAAAAACTCAAGCATGGCAATGTGTAAACAATATAGTCTGTTTGTTTTGTTAGTTATGGCAATGCAACACTTGGGCAATCTGCCTAGGGAAGATGCCTTCCGGGTGTCTTTTATGGATAACTGGCCTCTATTTAGGCATTAAAGACGTAGAAAATACCTGGAAAACTCCATGTGAGGTGAGGCATATACCCACAACCAAACTACCAACGTTCGGGGAATGGAACCACTTGGTAACTGGTGGGCCACATATACAATAGTCAAGTTTCGGATAATCCTTCGAAGAGTATGACAACAAAAAATCACAAGTTTTGAGGGTTGGTACTACTACATGGATCATGTATAGAGCCATTCAATAATGGCTAAGAAAAACCACCAGCATTGAAACTTGTCCACAAAGGTGCTGACGCAGTATAACGTGCCATTTCACAGAAGCCACTTCCTATCAATTTGATGATATTTGGCAACTTTTTCCTCTATCTCATAATTTCCAAGATAGGAATGCTAACTTCCAAATTCCACTAGAACATTGCTGTCGGTCTTGTCTGGCGACGCATGGTCATTTTGTCACACAAATATTTCACTTCCATTTCACTAGATATCTTCATTCAAAAGTTATTTGAGTGACTTACAATTTTACTAGTCATCCTTGTATAATTTTCATTGTTTTGGTGCCAGGTTTGACTTCAAAATTTAAAAAGTTTCACATACATATAAACAATTCTTACTTGTAAGTACTCCATATACTGTATGTTCTCTTAATACTGTATACTATTTGTTTCAAGAAGCTTGTTTTTTCTACACATTAAACGTTCTCAGTGACAAACAATGTCTCATGCTCAAATCCAAATCTTTGAACTACAAAAACTGCCGCTTCAAACAAAATTTGAATAGAATACAAAATAGACTACAATTGTTTTATGACTTAAGATCGAAATCTTTGCAAATTTTTGACAAGTTTGGTCATTGGTTAGCGTAAATGAGTAATAAAAATTACATGAATATATAGAATAATATCCATTTGTCTGCTGCATCGATTAGTAATTAAGCTAGTGAGGTGGAAGAGGGATGTATTAATTAGGTCCATCTTCCGTATCAAGTTCCATTATTGCCCTTATGTGCAGATCTAATCTTTCATTTTCTATCTTTTGATTGTATCCGTATGAGACACGAGACCTTTGACAGTTTGATAAAGCACATTTCTCGAGTGTGCTATGACATCTTAATTGACCGCTAATGGTTCTTATGTCAGTGCCGTGCTAACTTTACTTTCTTGACAAGAAAAATGCCCCATTAAAGAAGGATCAAAATAGTAGGATGCACAAGATTATGTTATCTGCTGGTACACCTCGACAAGCAGATATCATAAAACGGTACGTCAGTAGAACATATACAAAATTTTTGGATAGGCCGACAGAATATTAACAATTTAAAAAAAGAAAAAATTTGACACGAAAACGGCGAAAGAACCGTTAGCCAAAAAAGAAGCGTAGGCTGATTGGCAAAGTGCAGACATAGTTATAGCCCACCCAAAAAAGCATCCCCTCCAAACACTGAAAGATCTCGTCACAGCCACTACGAACGGCATTCTCGACGAAAGATAAAGGATTAGATCTGTGAATACAGGCTGTAACTGCACTGGATTACAAAAGAATCAGGCCTAACCAACACGTTCCACTCTTTCTCGCTAATGTAATTACTCGTCAATGCAGAAGACAAAGAGACACTAATAAAAACTATACAATAGTTTGCTTATGCTACTCGACAGCCAAATTTGCTAAAAATTTGCAAAGATTCTGATTTCGAATTGTAAAATAACCAATAGAATACAAAGTAGACTAGAAAACTTTGCTCAAAAGTGGCAGTTTGTAGTTGGATGCGACAATGAAACAACATCAGTCGAGGAGAAAGCTTCCTTAAATTAATAGTGTATGATATTGAGGATGTGACTGCATTTTTCATACGTGTTTAATTACTACAGGGTTTATGAAAAACAATCAGCCATTGAAAAATCATCAGAAAATTTGTGTGCACGTACATCAATCAATGCAATTTTATAATTCCTGCATTGATGATGTGGGCAATGGAAGAGAGACTGCAGGTCCAGTGGCAAGAAAGATTGCTGACCACTCATCTGTTTGGGAGTGAATGCAGATTGCCACAAAAAACTAGGTGTGGAAATTGGCGGTTGCTGTGCACGATACCCCTTCACCGTATGGTGGCATACGATGAAGGAGCATTGTGCCACAATTTGTCCGGAAACAATCGACAATTGTCATTAGAAGTGTAATTTGCGATTTCAAATATAAATTTATCAATTATAAATATACTTACTCGAAAAGACCATCTTCCTCTTTCTCCGGTTCAGTCTATTTATATATTAGTATGTTTTAGTTATATTGTATTATCTCAAATTTTATATAATATAGAAGAATTCTCACCTCCGGATTTTGGCTCAACCATTCGTCTAATGCCCTGGAAGAATTTTTATCATACGCCACCAGATCTCTTCCTCCTATGATACGGGGCAACGCACTGACTGCCGAATATATCTATTACCGCATAAGATGTCTGTTAGATTGAATATCGTAATGTCGTAATTTGTTTTCCACGGGAATCTTACCTTTCGAAACTTCTTGAAATTTCGTACTGTCCCATTCGGTTCTGTCTCATCTCTGACATTAATGTTGGTTCGACGATCATTTCTCAAAGGACATAGTGCGGCGTACTCCACATTCACTAACCGAGAAGGCAGTTCCTCGTGCGAGTTCGAACTTTTCGGCATTGTAGTGGTGACGTTCTACAAAATAACAATTTTTGTATACTTGCATCTCCAGGTTTCTATAAACGTGATAAATTAAAGAATTTTTATCTACTTTATTGGGTTTTGAAATAAAACCATCCATGACGTCCTCTTCTGTAACGTCCGCCCACACTTGAGTATTTTCCATGGACTTGTCCTGTCAAATAGACAATTGGCAATTAAAATACTGCAATTATGCATAAATTGCAAATTAGATTTACCTCATTGTAATCTGTATATAAATGAGGAGGTGAATTAACAGGAGAATGAATGGGAGAATCTTCTGCTTTTACGTCTGTGGTTTGTTCGGTTTCCGAAGAGATCGGAACCGTCGATACTAAGAGAATATTCATTTTTTTAGTAACTTTACTATTTGAATATCACAGTAGGTAATTTATAAAGCACGTTACCAGAGGCAATCGTCTCAGTTAGATTGGGTTTGTCCGCTTCCTGCAGTTTCATATGCTTGGGCGACGGATCCTGTTTAATTTCTGTCTCTAGGATTCTGTAATTAAAATTTTAATAAGAATAAAGTACAAGATTATTGCCAATTAAACCAGATATATGCTGGAATTTTAAATATCCTCTCACAATTTATCAAATTTTAGTATGCACGTGGTAGTCATCGGTGGCACCTCTATGTCACACAATTTTTAACTCATTTTACTTAAACTTAACCATAGCTGTGCCCAGTTGCTCATGCAGTTGTTAACATTGTTTACCAGCTCTGTCACAAGCAAAGAATATCTTGGGCTCAGTGCAGCCATTAAGCATAATGCCACCATCTGAAAATCGACCTTTTTCCATGTTCGTGAGATTGTATCAGGTTCCTCATTTTCTCGAGATCTGACTGGAATCATTCTGTAGAATGTATCTAGACTTGTTAGTGAATTGAACATTGGCCCATTCATTACAAACGGCATAGAGGGAGGTCGTGCATCATTGTATCTCGAGCAGTGTCGGAGTTAATGAAAATTTTACTCGTTACTGGCATTTACAATAACAAGTTGGATGAAGAAGTCAACTTATTACAAAACAAAAGAGCCGCACGGAACGAACTGTAGGAGCTCGAGCATAAATCTCATTTCCTGGGGAACAGAAAACTGCGATAATCGTATAGTAACGTGTGTTTTATCAATTTTTTATACAAATAAAAAAATTGTTAGTTTTTCTCGTTATACATTTTTTTGTTTTGAACACAGACTGAAAATGGCAATGTCTGCATTAATATATAAGGCGAACCGAATGCATTCTTAGCGTAAATACATGTAAAAAGGTGTTAATTTACTCGCGTGTTACCTTTGGCCTGTGATAGGCAATGTGTACTGATAAAGACAATAGATATTCCAAATTAAACATATACGTCTGTGGGGTTGGATGGAAAGTGATTAGGCATTGAAAAATTGGCGTAAGTTTTTTCGTAATGATAATGCAATCATAATAAAAGTTATGCATGTGCATCAGTTAATGGAATTTTATAATTCTTGCATCAGTGGTTGCCACGGTACCAAATAGAGTCGGTAGCATACGGTGAAGAGATGACATGCCTCAATTCAACCAGAAACAATCAACAGTTGTCATTCAAAGCTAAAATGACCACGGGTTTGGTTACAGACAGAAGTGGCCCACTGCATCGTGACCCGAGAAAAATGTATCATCGGTGGATGGCATTGGTGCTACCACCGACCATCATCATCTTTGCAATAGAAATTTAGAAATTATAGCAATTTCTCAATGCCTAGCTACTTTCCGCCAACACTATACTATATTTTATCAAGGAATTTAATAGAGAAAAATCTGGTGGAAACTCTCAGTTGTATAATGATATTAGAAGTCCAACATTGTTTATGCTACAGAAAATGATATATAACTAAGATGCAACTCACCTTTTTCTCGAAACAGGTGTTCTGCGCGGAGATTTTTGTATGGAACTCTAAAAGAAATTAGTCACAATTATCAATAATTTAGATCATTTTGAGTCCGCGTAACCAAAATTCTTACCAGCTGGGTCCTCTCCAGGCTTTCTTCGACAAACGATCCAGACCTGGTTTTGACTCCGCTAGAGCTAATCAGATTTCGGCCATATTTTAATATAAATCAATATCAAAACTGAAAAATGCTAAATCATACCTTTGAGTAGATTGGGTCGCTTGCACGTAAACATCTCCCTGAGTAAGCGTCTGGGAATGAAGGTTGGCCAAGCTAAACAAATTACTTCCTGTAAAGTAACTATCTTAGTCAGCGGAATATAAAAAGATAAACTTCCTTTTAACTTCAAAATTACTTTACCCAAGTTGTACGACGGATTGCAGTACTTCTCCGTGGAACAGTAGACGACGGCCAGGCCGATGTCGGATTCGGGAATGGTTCGTTTCTTCTGCCTACAAGCAAAATTTTATCAATGTTTGTTGAAATCGTCATCATCATTGAAACACAATTTATTCTACAAATGCAATGTCTATGTACGTAAAATCTACTGTACGAATGGAAAAGGGGCCAAATTAAATTTACTACGATATCTTCAACACAAATTGTCTTGGCATACAAATGGCCTTCATTTCAATCATATATAGAACAATCAAATAGAAGTAGGTCTGAGGGTGTGGGTTGGACTTTATGACGCCACAAGCCGTCGCCAAATTCCTCGCGAGTTTGACTTTTGTTTGGTTTTAATGAAGAACAAACCTGGCTCAAACTACCTACAAAAACATTTCATTTAAAGTCAGGTGTTTTATAACAGAAGAAAGATAGTTGACCAGTACACATTTTCTACATTTTGATTTTACAAAATGCTGCAGTTAGTTATTAATTTATGAATTTTCAGATTAATCCAGCAGTTGCGGACCGTAATGAGTTAGCTATGCTGCAGCATACGAGCGTTAAAAAGATAGCGTGCAAGAGAATTAAACCCCTCGGCTTCGCGGAGATACACTTTAATTACTTTTAAATCAAATCCTTCACAGAAAGTGCAAAGGAAGAAAGTGAAATAACATCTATGTAATTAGCATACACGTTAGTAAAAATATTACACTTAATACCTTTTTAGTTCCTGTTCTATTATTTCTACATGCCGTGGCAGTGTGGGAGACGGGACTGTGGAGGAATCCGACTGGTGCTTCATGACAATGGTGTTGGGATGCAGGAGGAGGCTTGCCTTTACTTCGTCTTTACTATCCAGTAGCTTGACCCTTCCCGACGCCAAGGTTATTCCGAGACAAATCTTCTTATACTGGACAAGTCAAACAGTCATTAATAAAATCAGTAGCGGTAGTAAATCAAAGTGGAAACGTTACCTGTTTCTGCGACGTGCAAATGAATGTTTTATTCTCGAACAGCTTTGCTCTGTGTGGATTGGGATCGAAGGAAATTTTTTCATTGACGAGAATTGGTTCGCCCAATTTTGGAACGTAGCTGTAAAATTCTACATTAGAATTGCTTAAATACTTTATGTTTGCAAACAGAGAAAGACGATACCTTTTGATATTCGGATGATCCTTTTTTTCTCGAATGGCTTGCAATAGATCTTCAAAATATTCCGCAGTTACAAATGGCTTCAAGCTAACCATTGCACAAACGGCCTGAGAATGTTCAGAATGCAATTAGAAAATACAGCAAATACAGAACTTTTTCATTTTAAGCAACTTCGTCAACTCCGCTACATAAAACAAATACTGTATGTCCTCGAGAGATGGGAATTACCAATTTATATCTTAATATATCTTAAATATAATCAGTTGCATATAAAAGAGATGAGATACGGGCACTTCATTAGATCTTACCATATGAAGCAGACTCTAATGTGTAGGATTTTTTATCCTCTTCTTGGCCAACCATTTGTCAAACTGTATGAGTCACAAACAGCACTTGAAGAATATGTCAAATAACAGATAATAATCCCAAGTTCGGGTTGTATGGTAAGATCCAATATAGTGTGACAAAGTGCCTAAATTTGTGCAAGCCAAACTACCCATTTTGCATAAATCAATTTTGAAATATTAAGTGTACACAGTTCATCCTTAAATCATCAATTCAAAATAGACATTATTCTTACTTTTATGGTGACTTTGATTTCCTTCATCACCAGATGAGTGCAGTCGGTCTGCCATTCGGAAACCAAGTGACCCCCCAATTTCTGGATCGACTGCTTTAACGATTTCTTCTCTTCGGAACTGATGCAGGATGTGCTGATCGTCATTGGATTACGGCACACTCTGGAATGAAATACAGAAATAAAAAATAGAATGGTTTTCGCTTGCGCTCTACTTACGGAAATGCTTCTAACTTACTCGTAAGTATTCCCACACTGTCCGAACGTGATCCTGTCGCTGATCTTCAGTGTGGTTTCTTTGGTATCGAGTCGTGCATCCTCGTTCAGATAAGTGCCATATTTTGAATCGACGTCTCTGATTGTTACGATCGGCAGCTTATTGATGTTGTTCTGAAATTAAAATTTATATAAATGCAAGAATTATTATGGGTGCGTAAGAGATGTTAAAAATGATCTGCAAGACATCAATAAACAGTAACGACTGACAAATAAGTGAATGTTAGAGATTAATGCTCTTAAACTGTAAATTTTTCTCTTAATCTCTCTCTCTCTCTTCCCTACTAGGCAAAATACTCAAGTTTCAACTGATACAGTACTGTCTCAACCACCTTTAAAAATTTAAACTTACCTAACTATCCTAGCAGTAAACTAAAGTAAAAATTAAGGAAGAAAAAACATAATGGTAAACAATAGCAATTCCCCATATTACAATATTATTGTCCTTAAATGACCGCCAGTAGAAGGGGTCGGCTTTGCCCTACGGCACTTCCTACTGTGCTTTCTGAGCATTTGAGATAATGTTTGGTCCTTACAGTTAATCGACTCTCTGATGCAGGCAGATTTATACGAGGCGCAACCTGAAAGTAAGCACAATTTGGCTATTTAAAATAGGCTATTGAAACAAAAATTATTTAATTACCATTAATTATATATAGCTTAATCTACTTTTCAATCGGATGTAACTGTTTACTTGCAGTAAACAGTTACATCCGATTGCCACAAATATTCGCAACCTAATTAATAATTCTCATAATAACTACATCATTTCTTGGACCAAAGGACACCAAGGTATGGTAGGAAATGAACGTGCAGATCAACTAGCGAAGGAAGCTGCTACTGACAATTCATTAGACACCATATATAATAAGATTTGCAGAAGAGGAATTAAAAAACTATTATATGAAGATCTTTTAAACCGATGGCAACTCAACTGGGACTGCAAACATAATGACATGACTTTTAAATTCATACCTAACATCAAGGAATATCATAATAAATATAAATGGGTAATTCCAAGTTTCCCCCTTACTCAATTTCTTACCGGACATGGCAAATTTTCAAATTATCTACATCGATTTGTGAATAAGCAAAATGATCTGTGTGCCATATGCGGACAACCGGACAGCGTCGACCATTATCTTCTTACCCGTATTTCTCTCGAAAGAGAACGTTTAGAACTAAAAACCATTGCTCATAGATATAACCTCAACTGGCCATGCAAACATGAAGATCTCATTAAAAATAAAGAAATTTTTTCTTCCTTTCTTCTACTAGTTAAACGCCATGAGACTATAGCAACCTACGCAACTAGGGAATAATTCTTGATTTCAATTACTTTTATCTTACTTGATAAACTTGTTTATTTTCTTGAAAACTTCTTGTAGTCTTGTTCTTTTATTCGGTTTTTGAAAGTCCTATTATTATTGTTGGATTCGCTATATTCGACATAGTTTTGAGGTTAACTCTCTTGCATTTTCTGTCGTCAATTGTTAACGACCCTTTTCTTACATTTGCCACTTTGCTGAATTGTCAGAGGACTTGACAGATGAAAATGTTTTACTACCATATAAAGGCTTCGATGGATACGTGATTATTAAAAACATTCAACATACTTTGATCACTATGTCTCATCTATGACCTTTGTGTTCAGTCAACGTGTTTATTATCTTCATAATAATCGAATACATAACTCATCACAGTCAGTTCGCAAGAAGAATTGCAAAGTCTCCTGGCCAAATAAATTGCTTCAGTGCAGAATCATGGATGTCTTATACACATTGTCTCTGACGTAGATACGTGAATTAACATAAGATATCTTGGATACATTGTACCGCAGACACGTGACATTTATAAAAGAAGTGTGGATTATGGATATCTTGAAAACATTGTTTGAGCTGTAGACAAGTGACCTTAATTGAACCTTGTGTCCTTATTCTAAACCGTTTGCTTTCTCAGCGCCTCTACTGCAATATGTGTTTTCTCCATTTGAGAAAGGACATGACATTTGGATGCAGCCTATGTGCTGTAACGATAGAGACGTGCTAGGCAATTATCTGAGCCCATCTTGTAGTAACAATCAATGCCTACTGCAAGTCTAAGGAAACTTTGCATTGATGTGACTGGATAAGACCATTATCGATGTGATTGGATAAGAATACGCCGTTGGATTAGAAAAGCAGTGTTCAACTTTGCGACTTGGCTTCATAAACTTTTGCTGGTTGATAGTCTGAGTGATCTAAACATCTGTGTGATAAGAATACACCATCCAATCAGGAAAATACTGTGCAACATGCAACTTGGTTCCATAAACTAGTGATGGTCGATAGTCTGTGTTATCTAAATATCTGTTATGAAGTATACACGGCTTCAACATTGATGAGCTTCGACAAAACTTACCACCAAACTAGAAAAACTGTGCTGTGGACACTCGGCCTCAAGATTTCATAACATTCTGTTTGTATTACGATTAGAATACAACACGCTCAGTTTATTGTTATATAGCATAAGTTTAGTTTTAAGATAGTCATAAGTTTAGTTTTAAGTTAGTTTTAGTTAATTTTCGTTCACCTCTATTTTATCTTATGTACTTTCTTTTTAATAACCTGCATGACAAGCTGTAAGATTATATCTATATTGGTACACCCAACACCTGTATAACCATTTCTATTCATTACCACGGTATCGATTTGTAAAATTCATACTGATATTGTACAACTTCTTTACTTTGTCTTCCCACAATTTGTCAAGCGTTTTATCATTTGTAAATTATATTTTCATATAAAGAATTGTATATATATTTCTCAGCTATGTATAATACGGTACTGGGAATGCACCTGCAAGGTGCCTAATAAAGAATAAGTAAGTAAGTAATCTACTTTTCAATGTAATTGCAATGTAAATTGATGTCCTTATCACATCTTGGCACTAAATTGAAGATACCCTGTTCATAGAATTCTGCTTTCTGTGATTTGAAATACTTCTAGACATTGCAGTGATTGTCTTGAACACAACTTTTCGAAGTGCAAGTGTTTAGTCACAATTTCGTGCAACAAAGATCTTGAAATGTCAGGAAATTATAGAGATAAATCAGAAATCGTGAACTGTCTATTGAAACAAACCTTCTCTTCGATACCGAGAAGCAAGTCTTCATTGACTAGGGATGAATGGCTACCATGCTCCTCATCACGAATGTCATCCCTTCTTATATAGGTAAATGTCTCTTCAATCCTAACAAAATTTCGGTAGACTTTCTTACAGCTCTACAGGTTAAAAATCTCCTTTATTGTTTTTCACAGATGCATTTCGGGCAAGTTTAATTTTCCTGCCCCTCTTCAGTGCTACAAAACAAATTCATATTGAATTTACACAAAACAACTTTTGAGTAGAAAATGCTTACAAGACATAAAAAGGCATTTTATAATACCTTAAGATTTCCCACGTTTCTTCATCTCTTTTACAGTACTTGTACTATCAATTTACAATGTTTTTAAATTTATAATTCCCAATTTTCTCTTAATGGCGTTTTACATCGAAATCCATACCATTATGCTACACAACTAATTACAAATTATAATTATTAGTAACATTTTAAATCACTTATTTATAACAAATTTTTTCTTTAAAAAAGACATTTACTAAAAAAAATACATACATGTTTTTCTTTAAAAGTGTCACAACAATAACAGAGTAGTATACGTTGTAAAAACTTTAAAAAATCCCTTCTTCGTTAAACATTCTAATCCACTTTCTCACCATGCCTTTACTCATCACATTTAGTCTGTAAATTTCACAAATTTGCTGGTAAATTTCGTGTGGTCAAACGTTTCTTGCATTCAAAAACCTTATTACCGATCTAATTTCACAATCGGCAGGCCGCTTGATTGTTTTGAACGTTATAACCGACGCTCAGTGATCCTCAGCATGAACAAGAAAAACAAATATGACTGAATTACTTCATTCTTGAGTTGAAGAAGTAACTACACACGAGTGACCTTGACATTCCCAAAATGCATGGGAGATATACGCAAACAGTACTTACTTTCTGAATGCGCCTGGTAGATTTCTGGGTTTTCCACATGCTTTAATTCCACAGCATCTGGTATGCTTTATTATTTTGGTCTCTTTCCTGTCAACTTCTCTTCTTTCATTGCATGTGCAACTTCTCTTAATGTGTCTGAAGGGAATTCCTGATCATGCCACTCAAAAGCTTTATTAATTCAATGATTTGGATGTTATCTGGATATCCTAGATTCCTGACACTAGCATATGGTTTGATTTCCCTTTATCATTATTTAAGAGATTAAAAAAAGTTTAATTCCTTCTATAAAAGATTCTTCTGTTTGTGATTCCAACAATTTCTTTATATAAGGTATTAAGGCACCAAGTACTTAATGATTTTAAATTCATCCTTAATGTGATTACAGTTATCATCTTGCCCCTTATTCAAGAAATTTTTTAGTAAAATATCCGCTGCATGTTCTCTCAATCTAACCCCTAAGGAACACTTTGTAGAGCTTACATAGACAAGACCAAGAGTAATATCCATTAGTTTGTAAATAACAGACCATCGATTTAATAGAAATTTCAAATAACTGGCACATGGCATTCCCTTAAGAAATGTGTTAAGGAGAATAAATATAACATAGCAAAGATTCGACCAGCAATGGCATTAGTTGCACATACAATAGACAAAAAGGCAGAAGTCAAGAGGGAAGATGCCAGAATACTAAAATGCATATGAGATACGACAGGATTAAACCATCTAGAAAACCTAGAAATCTATAAATGCAATCAGATCAGAAAGTCAATTAACCGTAAGAACCAAATGGCTATCTTGAATGCCCAGAAAAAACGGTACAAGTTGCCTTAAGAAACTGACCCCTTCTACATACTGTTGAATAAGGTCATTAAGTCATTTAACACGATAGTACCATATTTAGATCCAGTGTGTGAAATGTTCAAAAAAGAGCCAACCAATATTTACAAGAAAAAAGCATTCTAATCAGGAATGTAACAAGAGCAAAATTTCCACTCAGTATAATTAGATTCCATTCTCCAGTTTCTTTGTTTCATTCACATTCGTCTTTGTTCATCGGGTAGCACCATTCATTCTAACACAAATGCCACCACCCTAATAAAAAAAAAAACATCACTTATGAACCTTAAGGTTAGTCCAGCATTTAACGTATTCTATTCACTCCTGGACTAACCCTATGGTTCGTAAATGATTTTTTGATTTGTGCAGACCTAACTCAGAAGTGTTCCCACTACCCTAATAATGAAAATAAAGCAAATAAATTGTGTAAAACAGAAGATTCCTATCGTACCTCTTCCAACCAGAGATGATACAACGGCAAGTCGACCAGTAAAGTGGCTTTAAATACAGCTGGATAAGAAAGCAGACAACAACCCATTCATTTAAAATGATGACATTGGTTTGCTTATCTGGCTTATTCGACTAAGTCCCTAAGATAAGATGTGAACTCCAAACGAGGTGTTCCCCTGTAAGCATGAAAATGTTAAAGAAACCATACCCATACATGCAACCATTGGTGAGATATTTGCTTCTAAGTGCAGAACATCAGTTGAGGCTCGCCATCACTAGCCTCGACAGACGCTCCGCACGTAGTCATGCTTGCATCGCGACACCCGCATGGGGCGAGCAACACACCACCCTAATACTATATAACTTCGAATACTCCACGTCAAGCAGGCTAAATAGTTAAATGCGATAGTCTTAGAAGAGTAAACGGTTCAACTCTGTACGGCCGCATCTCACAAAGGGTAACAGGTAGAGGACGTTTACGCTCCTACGAGCATGATTTATAGCTCCGGTAAGGTCCCAACTGTCCAATTCAGAGGTGTAATTCTACCGTGCCAATGTAATCTAATTACAAATCTGTATTAGTGTAATAATCTTATCATATGTAGTGTTTATATAACAATGTAAACATTAATCAAGACAACATGACAACAAAGCATACCACATTGGCTTCAGGGTGATGTAAAACGATAACTGCATGTGTTCTGCTAATGGAAGGATCGTCTTCGATCTTTATGCGAGCATCTTTCCTCCCCACGGTATACACTTCATCCACCAACAGGTAATGGATTATATCTATAAGAAATTCGGCGTTAGATCGAAAAATATATAAAATTAAAAGATGTCGTTAAGAAAACGAGAGGTACTTTTGTTCTTTAAGCTTTTAAGATACCACATTTTCTATTTTTACGCTTCGAAATGCTTTATAACGTCCATAACTGTCCCAGCACGTCTTCTCCTCCACTCGTAAAAGCCGCCATATTTTTTACCGTATAAGACGTGTTGCCAGCTGTTGACAAGTTTTTTTTAATTATTTAATTAAATTATTTTCTACTTTTTTGTAGTGTCGACACCAAGCGGCAAAATACAAAACTATTGATATAAATTCCAATGTTTCTATTTCCTCACGTATTATTATTGCAAAAAATACTGTATAAAAAATGAACGTTATTAAAATACTTTTAAAACTATAAGTTTCTTGCAAATTGGACACCAGTATTACTTTTTTTTCCTAAAATATATTTTTTTCTAGTTGATTTAGATAGAACGCGGCCATTTTGAAATATACTCTCGAAACACTACCGTGTAAAATTGTATATGGCTAATTACCGATAATTTAGTACTTATTTGATATTTATGCTTTACTTACATATAAATAAATACACAAGGCATGTCATTTTCAAATTAGTTCATCGAGGAAAATCCGAAACTTACTATTAGCGAATTCAATTTAAGCAACGCCATATTTGGTCCTTTTAATTAATGTAAGATATTTGATAATGACTACTTAATTATATCATTTTTACTCAAATTAATACAAAAATAATAATAATAATAATAATTTTTCAAATTTAATGTAATGTACTACGCAATACACGAGTTCAACATTATCAGCAGGACTAAATATGGCGGTTCGGCGGCACGAATGACATCGCCTATACTTCGACGGCGAATTAGCTGTTTTTCAAAAGCTTTCACTAGTCAATTATTTCCAAAAATATAATTATAGGCAGACAGAAACTTTGTTTCGTACAGGACAATGTAAAGATGACTCAATTTAACATTTGTTGGTTGTTTTCTTGCTATGGCACTAAGAATGCCATATTTCTATGGTTTTTCAATGGTCATAATGGAAAAGCCAGCTGCTGACGTACAAGTTCCGATCACCACGAAAAATTCCTTTAAAGTTCCTCGCTCGAATAGGATTATGGATACACCGGAACACCCGGCTGAAACTTGATTCCAATTGCAAGTTGTTTCAGTGGCGATGGCGATTGATGGCAGCAAACATCCAGTAGCAAAGATACATAGGAATTTAATCTGTTGAAAGCAGGGGCATTTGTGGCTGTGCAAAGACTTCAACCAGAAACATTGAAAAATCTGCCAATTAGAAGCACTGTCACAATTACAGGCATGGGATAGATTCTGCTGTTAGATTATACTTTCATTTATTGCTGTCGCAGCTGCGAAGTTGCCAGTAAAATCTTGAAGTTTTTATTACAGGTATCCCTTGCTTAAAGCGCGAAAATAATTGCAGCAATCCCTTTACATGCACGGCATATGATTTAATTAACCATATTAATCAAGGGATACCTGTATTTTCATTTGGAGGAGCATATAAACTTTCAAAGTGCCATAACACAGCTTCAACCGAATTCATTGGCTGGATTTGAATCATTCTTCTGCAGCATCAGATGTGGTTCAAGTTTAGAGGCTCGGATCTCGTTCAAATCTAGTAGCGATCCCGCCAGCAGGTTGAATGTTACTTAACAATCTACCGAATGATATCTATGTTATTAGTAGGACTAAACATAATAATAAATAAATGTAAAATCTTTTATTTTCAAAAGGACACATACATACACACCTCGGCATGATAATTACACGTAACTTATCATGATAAAAAATGGTAACAAAGATCAGGTAATAAAATGTTTAAAATGATAAAGAAATATACTTATTTACATGTCATTTACTGCATAATTGCTTCAAACTTTAATAAAATATTACAACGGATGAACTATGAGCCTTACGAGACGCAATTTGAAATGTTTACGACGCAGTGGCATCGAATTTTGATTGTTCGTTCCGCAACGTACCTCATGTCACACTAAATGTAACTTTGGTCTAACAAATGGACTCGCGTAACAATTATTATTAACAAATTCCTAATGGTCTTGTCTGTGACGTTTCCAAAATCTCCTGACGTCGTCGTGACCCGTCTTACTAACCACGATGACTCGTTTTATTGGATTATCCCAGATTAAAACATTGATATCCTAATTATTGGAAGAAAATATGGCTTAAGTAATAATGTGGTAAATAAATAAGTGAGTTTAAATAGAATTTATCGTACCCTTGCGTAATTTCTTAACAGTTCGAAATCGCTCTGAGACAGAAACTGACTATAAAGGACGCCTTCCTTGAAGATGAAGCGATTCCTCTCCATCTCCCATAGACGAATTTGATCCGTCACAGTGGCGGGAACGGAAGTTCGCTACACAAAAGAAGAAATACAATTTCAATTGACAAGATAATTACAATCATAGATTGTTGGTTATTGTTTCTAGCAATGCTGGCAACTGCAATTGGCCATTTGGTGAACCTCCTCCAAACGCTGCACGAGCACAATTGCAAAAACCACCCGTCACCTTCTACAATGTGCAATAGCTAGAGTTGCTGGCGAGACTAGAAAGAGCAACCATTTAAAAACATATCTTAAAATTACTGTACTCAAGCTTATGCGAAGACTTTCTAACTCTACAGAATTACTATTTTTTGGGGCAATAGAAGGTAAAAAGGAGGGGGATGCTCCAGAAATAAGATTATTTTTAAACTAGATTTAAGATAACTATTAACGAGCAATTATTTATTAAAACATTGTCATAATGCACTTAAGTTTAGTCATGTTTTACCCCTGTACATCACACTTTTCCTGTTAACAATGAAGTCATGCCTGTCGTGTATGTAATTCTGCTCAGGAGAGAATTTTTGAATTGAAATAACGTGACTTCAGGCCTAAAGTGGAAGTTCTTAAATAGTTAATTGGGGCCTCCTGCTGCTAAGCTTTTCATATCTGGTCTCGACTTTCATCTGTCTAACACTGTTCTCATGATTAAAGGACAGACAACAGACAAACAACAGATTGGTGAGAATGTGGCAATGCAATACTTGGGCAATCTGCCAAGGGAGTACCACCTGGGAGGACTTTTATGCAAAACTCGCTCCTATTTAGGATGCGATTATGCAGACGCCAGCAAATAAATTTTCTGAGTGAGCGAGAATACATAATGAGAAGAGATGATGACATTTCCTGCACTTGTCTTTGTGGTTATATAAATGAGAGTAAGAAACAGAGAGCATGAAACGTCATTACTTCTTCTCGCTTTGCTTGCATCTGCATAGTTGCACCCTTAGGTGTTATACGCACAAAGAAAACAGAAAACTCCACATGGCCAGCCCACTGGTGAATTGCAATCCATGACTAACAATTCTTGAAAGAACCATCAGTGTTTTGACCAAGGGATAAATAAAACTGGCCCTTCTAGAGGATATCTCTGACAATTTCTGCTTATCGTGAAGATGTGTCACCAGTTAAATTGCCGGACTTCCTTTGCATCTTCTTCTCTAAACTAATATTAAGTTAGATTGTAATTCCATCACATTATTTCAGGAGCATCTCTTTTTTATGTACTGTAAACTGAAAGGAATTAACAAATAACAGCAACAATCCTACATTTTGTAAGTGTGGAACAAGTATGGTTAAATAATAGCCATACAACAATCTAGTAGTCTTAGGAAGACAATATGCAGGTACCATTTACAATAAACTCACCTCGTTTACAGTTATCGGATGGGAGTGCATTCTCAGAAAGTTAATAATCTGTAAAAATATTCATATTGGTGAAATCGTTAAGAGTTTCAATTCAAATCTGTACATTTGACTGACCTGATCAGCAGTTATACCGCTCTTCAATGCCTGCCTGACGCTGTCTCTGGTTAAGATGCCAACTATTAAATTTGGAAATCTGAAAAATAATAATTAAAACTAATAATTTCTTAAGTCCGTAATTGACTCTAAACATTATTTTAGAATATATATTTTTTTGTCACCTTGGACATTAATTATTAATAGGACAACGGCAGGTAGCTCAATTTTCTTTATTGAGCTACCTTGGGGTTTTGTTGACGTTAACAAGATGTCATTTAGTTTACAAACTTCGGCTGGTGGCTAATCGGCATGGCATGGCATAGACGCCAAACTTTGGAATCATATTGTTACGCCAGATCAGACACCAAACATGAAGATTGTGTTCTAATCCCAATTATTCCCATTTAATGTAGGTCTGAGTCGCAATGAGATTGACCAATACGGGCGAGGGAGCAGAGAATAATCCTGAGGAAAATCCTGACACATGCTTCCAAAACTGTTAAATCTATATAACCTCTTTATCCTTTGCATAATGTAAACTTGTACTTGGTACTTGCAATAAAGAAACAGGTCATTCCAACAGCAAAAATTAATTAGTTATGCTGTATGGACTATTTGGCAACACTACACCAAAATACATTTTTTCACCTGTGGAATCAAACCCAAGGTCCCATGTCTCCAATAATGGTCAGCTTTGGGGTTCTCATTTCCCCGGTCTTTTGCTTGTCCCGGGATTCCGGAAAAAAGTGAACTGTTTCTCGGGATCCCGGGATATAATCAATTACTTTTAAGATTACCTGAGTTAAAAAACATCTGGGATCCCATTGGAGAAACCCTAATCAGCTTGATGTTATCCTTTGTTTTGAACCAGACAAGGTGCTCCCCACGGGTAGCCAACACCACAGGAATTGCTGAAATCAGCACTCTCCAAATGGGATGAAAACACAAAGCGAGCCAACAGTGGTTCAGTGTCCACAACCATCCCATTTCCCACCACCATGTTTGGTTCCCGTCCCTCACAACTCAGTTGCGCCATTGTGGGGCCGGCTGAACCCATAATGGGCTAATTAACAAAGTCCTCTTAGTGCCACAGGAGTTATATTTATATTGTCTTACCTATATAGCATTTCACAAAATAGACCAAGCAATGCCACTTGTAATTGAGAATCTGAAATTAAAAGTCAAAATTAATAGACAAATATTTTATAACAACTAAAAAATTCTCATAGATAAATTTAATTGGAAAAAGTTTATAAAATATATATTTATTTTTAATTTTAAACGTAGAAGGTGGAGTGATTTCAATAGTATGACTTCCAAATGTTATGCGACAAATGCAAAGATTTCTCTGTTAACAGAGTGACAGATTTCCTTTGGTTTTACAAACTGTAGAGTCTAATACTCGTGGGTGGAAAATTCCATTGACAAGGAACACCGAGAGATTAAACCAGTAGACTATGTTAACTATCAAGGTCAAATCAGACAATTGGCAATGTCACTCGAGTGCCGAGATCTTGTAAATTGGTAAAACCCAACACACTAGAGGCACCGTAACTGTTTTTGGCGTGTTGCGAGCTTATTGGCATCTTTTTAAATCAATTTTCAAGTGTTTCGGCACCTGGAAAACTTAGGTTCTCCTTTGTTCTACATACCGATAATTCGATTCCTTTGCAAATTCATTCACATTCCCCGTCCTTTAACGGACGCATAGTGCTGGACATGCTTTCACGTCTCGAACAATTAGCCTAGAGTTATAATAACTTCTATCTTTAAACACATTTTTCTAACCTGTATATGCATAAACTCTGTAATTGGTTTCTACTACGATGAATCCTGGCCTGTGAATGTCGAGATTAGCATCTTTCATACCCGAAGCAATGTTTAACGACAAACGAGTAGGATAAAATCTTCCAGATCTCCGCTAGCATAAATAAACAATAATTTATAACGATCAAACAATATTCTATAGCACTATAAACATATCACTTACCTTTCGTTGGTAAACTAAACCGATTTCTCGGAGATGTTGCAGGAATGTCAGTAGCGTTTCACTCATTCCTTCCGTGCTGTAAACCTAAAATGTTCAAAATTTTAATCACTTTAAGGATTTTACTTTCGATAAACTCCACATTTTATAAATTAGATATAAACAAACCTTTCCTAAAGTAAGAAAACTCAACTGAAAGAGAAATGTCAGACATTCCGTTAAATTCAGTCCTCTCTCCTACAAAGATAAAAGTTTAATTAGCCAAAAATTGAAGACGGAATCCTAATTTTGCTAAGCGAACTTGCTAGGAAATAGCTCAAACCTCGGCTGCATTGAGATACTGCAGCATAAAATACCAAATTTGAGACGACGTGTCCATTAACAGGAACTGGAATCCCTCGGTCGTTATCGTCGGCGTCGATTCAGATTCCTCTCTGAGTAGAAATCAAGCAATTTGGTCAGTAACTACGCATTATATGAAGGAAAAGAAATACTTACGATTTCATCAGTTTGGCAAGCTGAAGAATCGTTCTAGTATCACTACTGATTCCTTCCGTAGACTGTTGCGAACCGACCATAAAATGTAGCACGCTCTACAAAACAAGTTTCCGAAATGCAACCTTTACTCAAATTATCAAGTAAATTAATTATTCATTCCGACACTGCTTACCTCCCACCTTTCCATTGCGTACGTGTCTAAGAAAGCAATATCCCTGGCATGTTTATCTTCTTCCAAAGTAGTGCATACCGACCAAGGTTGGCCCCTAGAATTAATGAATAATTGATTTCTGTGCATTGTTATTGATTTAAAATAATAGATAACTACATGTGGCAAGCTTTCTATAGTGAAAGTAACATTCTGAGTAGTGTTTTACAGGAAAGAAACCACCTTTTGGAATGGTAAATCAGGTATTTCTTTCATAAAACAGTGCTCGGAAATGCCGATAATGGCCATTATCAACTTTTTATAGCATACGGCTCCGTAGAGTATACAGCATCACTTGTCTGTAGACTCAATTGAAGCACTTTGAAGATATTAAAAAATTACAAACCAAAAGAACTCGACAGAAGAATAAACAATTTAAGACTATAAAAAAGCACACGCACTTGCATTTAAAATCAATAAATAAATTATATAACTACTCACCCTCCCAATAATGCAGTTTTAATATTCTTTCTGAAAGTACTATGGAGAAGCCAACCGGGCAATCCTCCCGGCATAGGGTTTTCTTTCCACAGGTGCAGTTCGCAGAGTACTTCGACAGCATCCAGATGCTTCCTACAAGAAATTAAATACGCTTTAGTAAAATGCAGTTCCGAGACACAGCAACCGCTCACTTACTTGACGTTGTGTTGGTTGATCCATCCGCCTATTACCGCCTGCGGAACGGTAGACTCCACAAAGAGCAACCTCATTATGTAGTGTCTGGCCATCACAGGTAACTCCCTGAAAACATTTTCCCTATTTTATATTAAATTGAAACTATTAATGACTAGTTTTAATTAAATAATTATCAGACTGCCTTAATTACAGGAATCACCTTTCAGTTTGCTTATGTTAGAATTGAGAATAAAATTTAAGTCCCAAATGAGTTGGACCTTATCAGAGCCGTACACCGTGTCCACTAGAGTAAAAAACAGTCAAAGGAACAGACAATCTACGTGCGACCCTTAACAAGATATAGCTCTCCCTCCCAAAATCACCCTATTACTGTATTTTCCGGTGTATAAGACGACTTTTTAACCCAGGAAAATCTTCTCAAAAGTCGGGGGTCGTCTTATACACCAGGTGTCGGCATATATGGCGAGTATATACCAAATTCTATATTTCAACTGTAAAAGTCGGGGGTCGTCTTATACGCCGGAAAGTATAGTAGTTATTTTGAAGACCCTCACAAAGGAATAAAATTTAAAAGCTGAAAAAATCTGAAACTATTTCTCAAAACAATACTAAAAATCAGCTGTTTTGCACTTTACTTAGAGACAGCTAAAGCTCATACAACATGAGAAATGCCGCAGCATCAACTACTTTTGGGGTAAGTCTATATAATAAGTTATATACCATGCCACTACATCTTGCAAAGGATGACATATATACACCATCAGTTCCTTTGACTTTTTTACTGTTATAGAGCTCTGATAAGGTCCCAACCACCTCAAATAAAAAACTCACAATTATGTTGTTACTTTACAAAATAAATTATGCATTTTACCACATTAATTAAGATTATCTTGCTATACAGCAACGGTGGGCAACCCCCGGCCCGCAGGCCAGCTACGGCCCGCGAAAAGTTTTTATCCGGCCCGCGAGATATTTAGAAGAAATTATAAATAAATATTTTTCGATGTAATTCGTCTAGTTTAAATTGAATATTATTTTCTGAGGTGTTGTGGCAGCAATGACAGGAAAAAATAAGGGAGTCATTTCCTTATTCAAACAAAAAATGGGAGAACAGAATTTTTCTAAATTATTTATATCTCATCGCATCATCCATCAAGAAAATCTATGTGCAAAAGCTATGCAATTAGAAAATGTAATGTCTGTCGTATCCAACTACATAGTGCTGTTTTTATTGTGTTTAAAGTCACTTAGATTTTACAAATAGGTGAGCCGTTCACAGCCCGGCACACGCATTTGTAAAATCTAAGTGACTCGTACAACATGGAATTCATATAAAACGGAATAATCAACAGTGTTATAGGGGGGTTCGACTGTAATAATTAATTTCTTTTTATTTATTCATTTATTTATTTCATATTTGCAGACTAAAAATTTACAGGTCACAAGGTGTCAATTAACTACTATGGCCCGCGGAAAAAACGTAAAATTTATTCTGGCCCATGTTATAAAAAAGGTTGCCCACCCTTGCTATACAGTAAACAACATTTAAATAATGACACTGATAGATTAACGTCATTCTGGCTCCTAGCCTTAATAATAAAATATATATTAATATTAATGCAGGAAAAAGGAATAATACCAAAAATATAGGCAAAATGGTGAGTATGGTCTACAATATCCCTTGCGTAAAAAGTATACATGAAGGAAATGGGAAGGCTTTTTAAATGCAGGCTAAAAGAGGCTGTAAAACTTAGGCATGAAAAGTCACCCCCGTATGCACACATTTAAGAAAAATGTTGTGATATCGATAAAAAAAAAAAAAAACATTTTCAAATTATAAAACATAAAAATCATATAAATTTAATTAACGGTATGTTAGTTAATACAAATTGGGACAATGTAGACAAAATGGCAAGAATAGTAATAAAAGATTTTGGATGATATTCTCGTCTGCTTAGTGCTTGTAAGTCGAAAGAAATGTGGCCGTTCACACCGGGTTTTGAAAAATACGCTTTTTACTTCTCTAAATTTACAATGCATTTCTACAGGGTGTCCCAAAAGTTTCCATACATACAAAGGTGAAATGTAACTTTATTCACTAAACATTAAAATGTCAATGGATTGATGGAGTAAGGCAATGGAACACATGGGTGATCTGCCAATTGGGTAACTTCTAGCAGGATTTCCTATGCTATATTCAGGTGTTAGACACGTGAAAGAAACCCAGAACACTGCATTGGTCAGGCACAAACAAATGACCATCTACTAATGTTCAATGGTTTTATTTATTCGGCCGCTGGTGGGCTTGATTTGAGTCAATGTAAGGAGAATTTTCGAAAACTGTATGTTAATTATATAATGTTATTTACAAATTACAAAATACTATACAACTAATGACAGCTGTCATTAGTTATATAACTAACAATATGTGCACACATCAATGCAGTATTGATTTGTACACATCCAGCCTAACCAATATATTTAAAAGTTCAATTCTGATGAAATTTTTACATATTTTAGAGCATTTTACACACAATATCACTTATGTTACCCCTGCTTCAGTCAGTAACTTATGAAGAAATATCCATCAGCAGCATATACAATGAGTGATTTTACAGTCAAGAGATATTGAAAAATGTAAACTATCCATTTAAGCATTAACCAACTTAAAAATTAGTGAAATTTATGTGTAAAAACAGAAATTTACACCAAAATCACTAGTAATATGTTTAATATTAACTTTATGTATAGTTTCATGTGTATTCAAGTCATATTTTGGTTAATGTTTACCTAGGTAGTCCAAGATGGCTGTACAGTGGGGGACCCACGTTCTAACCTAACCTATTGTAATAAATTAAGAAAATTTTCCTTTCTTCATATAATTAATTTTTTGAGTTATTTTACATCTTACATTAGTAATTTTGTTAATTTATTAGAATAGGTTAAGTTAGGTTAGAACGTGGGTCCCCACTGTGCGGCCATCTTGGACTACCTAGGTAAACATTAACCCATGCTTTTGATAACATTCGATAATTTATTGCATATTTTTTTTACCTGAAGACGGCCAGACATGCTGCAGGATGAGAATAGAGTCGATTTAATGTAACTTGAGACAGAGTTCTGAGGTATTCGTGTAGGTTACTACACTTTAATCCCTTGGAAGATGCCGTGCACATGTTTAGGATGAAAAATAAAACAGAAATTGATTAATTATAAACGTAAAATTCAAGTTATATCCTACACAAGAAACGAAAAAACCGGCAAATACGCCATATTGCCTAGACGTTATCACATGTTCGGTTTTATTCAGTGTTGCCGGATCGATTTGATATTTATTATTATTTTTTATGTAAAGTTTTTAAGTGTTGCCAGATCCACATTTTTTAAAAGCATTTTTTTCCGGCGAATCTAGTTACAAATAAAATCATATAAATTAAAAGAAAAATATTATAATTAATTTCATGATTATTTTCCACTTTATATTATTATTATTACTATTGGGGATATTCGAAAAATATAATGTTAGAAATCATTTTGTTTTAATCTTATATTAACGGTTCGTGTAATTCACTAAAATATATTTATTATTTCTAAATTTTGAGTTTGAATAGAATGACAAAAAAAATAAATAAATAAATATCACGGCATCAAATACATTTTTTTAAGAATTCTATTACAGTTCGCCGATACGAACTGCCGCCATTTGATTGGAATGAATCCAAGCGTCGACAATTTATTATAAAGCGGATTACTTAGTAAAGCAGTTTTAATACAGCTGGATAAGCAAACCAATCACGTAGCCCGTTTCAAATAAAACAGACCGTGCCATTAATTGTTATCCATCTGTATTAAAGCCGCTTTACCAGGAAAAGCGGTCATAATTTTGATCGATTTATGAGCTACCCGATGACCAAAACAGCTAAAGCCTACTGCTTTAAGGGATCATAGTTCCAATTCATTTGCAGGCCAAGCGATGAGCAATTCAATTCTTTATGCTGAATGAGGATACCATCATTTATCCCCATACTATGATCATATAAATTGTAAGGACTAATACATAGGAATGTAAGGACCACATAAGCTGCAGCTTAGAGCCTAACATGTTTACACGAAGGGCCTGTTATATATTTCTTGTAAGAAAAGACTGCTCACCACAGGATGTATCCAATACCTAGAATAGTTGGGAATCTGCTTCAGGTCCATACAGTAATTACAGCTTCACCACATTCATATAAGTAAGAAAAACTAGCTGTAATCTTGACTATATTACCATCAAACCAAACAAAAATGTACTGGCTATTTGTAGGAATGATTACACTGCTTGGTATATTCTATCAATAAACTTCTTTATTATATAACTATGTAATAAATTACATGCTTTGCATACGTAAAATATAGAATTTTGTGCATATAGAATGTGTATAACAGAAAAATATCACAGAATTAAACACCTAAATGCAATTGAAAATGAGTTCACTCCTTGGAATCAAAGTAAAGAAATGACTTGGCATCCTCGACTCGCTTGACATCTTCGCTTGCCACCTTTTCGTTACACATGGGGCAAACCTCGTGCGATTCCAGGATCTTCAGGAATTCGGACATTATGGCGGGAAACTGACAATGCGGGCAACAGGTCAAATCTGTTTTTAATATATGACAACCCGTAGCAATGCAGAACGGTATGGTGTTTCGGCAATCGGAACAGGATAATTCCGTTTCGGGCAACTGATTATTGCAATATGGACAGGCGGTGGACGGTTCTTCCTCTTCGGTTTTCTGTGGTTTTCTAACAATGGCTTCTATCTTCTTTTTGTACTTTACATCTATTTGGTTCCTGTACTCGGGCCTCATCAGCATTGCTGCATAACTAAACGAAGAGTTTTTGAGTCCCGATCGATGACACTCAATAACAGTAGATGTTAATATAGGAACAATGTGGGCCGGAAACTTGCTGATATTGTTCGCCACTCTTATTAACATTCTAGCACTTTTTAAATGATCTCCCCTTTTCACATGTATCTTTACAAGAATGTAACTGTGTAGAATCATCAAATTTGTATACATTTCTGCAGGCACTTTTATCTTTTGACGTTTTAATTCTTGATACATGCTGAATAGTACATCGTGTGCGTTTCTGTAATTACCAGCATTCTGCTCTTCTCTTGCAATGATGATTGCAGTTTTAGCAGCCTCTCTATATTGTTTCAGAGCCATATAAAGGCGGAATAAGTGCTTGAAATCCTTAGGAACCCCATCTCTCTCTCCCATTAGATGCTCAATTAACTGCCGAATTAACTGTTCATCTCCGGTAGTCCCTACAGCCTGAATTGCAAGTTGAATAGCTTCATTTTCATCATTTCCAATAACTTTCAATAAATGCCTGACTGCTTTCTTGTATTGTTTTGCCATACAAAAGAACTTACCTGCCATAAAATGATTGCTATTATTTTCATAAAATGTTGCGATGCTTAAATAATCTTCCTGAGTTGCATCGTCACCAATCGCATCAGCATAAATGTCCATTTTTCCATTAGACTGAGAGAGTTGAAAGGCTTCTTCGTTGCATTTTGACAAAACAAGAAACTGAATTGCCGAGGTCACATCATTTAATTTCTGAAAAAACTTAGCTACCATCTTAGCACCTTCGGTCGATCTTGTTTCTCTCACAATCCTCACGGCTTCTTCTGGATTATTTAAATGTTCTAGCTGAATTCTGATAACGCTTTCATACTCCCGAGCAACTTCATATGCTCTAGCTGCTTCTCTATAATGCCCGTCAGCTTCTTTGGCCTTAGCATACTGTGCATGAATCTTTGGAGATGTCACATTTGGCAACAACTCTCCAACTTTGTTCCAATTTTTCAGTTTTATATATAAAGCAGCTGATTTGTCATACTGATGACCTCTCTCGTACAACACCGCTGCTTCCGAATACTGCTTCATGCTCTCTAAAATCTCAGCACACTCCCTCTTCAGAGTTTTATTCGACATCTGCTGAGCAATTTGTATTCCTCTTCTTATATCACTGCATCTAATGGACATTCGTGCAATTCCTGCTTTGCAGGCATCATTGTGTGATGTTTTGGCTGGATCATTGGTAATCCCATTCTCATAATGAACTAAAGCATTGACATAATCACCAACAAATTCCAACTGCTGAGCATATTCTCGAGATATAAATGGTATTTGATTAGGTGCCAATTTTTTTGCCAGTTGTAGCGCTTGTTCCCAATGAAGTAGATCTCGTCTCATGTCTAAAGCAGCAGACGGTGTTCCGGAAGCTAAATAAAGATCTTGTGCAAGGTTAAAATTGTTTTGAAACATTGCTAAATGGCCAGCGAGGAGATTGCGATCCTCTATGTTTTTTACTCCTTGTAGCGACCAAACCATACCTACATCCCCGATATGCCTAAACACACGGATCGCTAGATCCACATCTAAATTATAAATTGCACTGTTTCCTAGGGACACCCAATCATCTTTATTATTCAATAACTGGCAGATTGTCCAAGCTTCTCTAAATCTTTGCAATTTTAGGCTTTTCTGTAAGGCATCTTTCATCTCTGCAGGTGAATAATCTTTCAGCTTCTCTTCTAACTGATGAGTACTTAGTGTAAGTGTTGTAACTTTTCCACTTTGAGTCTGACAAGTCAGCTCACCACTGTATAAAAGCAGAGGATACTGTCCTGGTGGAAGCTTTGTTTGACCTACTAATTCAGCTTTAGAGCCCTCAATAGTTTCTTTGGCATGAACGAAAGTACCTATTTGAGTATCATCATATGCAATGAAGATTCCTTTATCTATTGGCCACTGATCCCAAAGAATGCCTCTAACAGTTGCCGGAAAATTCACAATTTGGATTATTTGATCATTCACAGGATTATAAATAAATCCATCAGTCTTATCATCCACAATAACGAGTCGTGTTCCCGATGCATCTGCATGTATGTTTCTTACCCCCATCACGTGACGATACTCGTTAACCATTTGCCAATCTTCTAACAGAAAAAACTGAATTGAACCCGTATCAGTGCCATAGATAAGAAAATCATTAGTCATTATGTGGCAAGTGATGCGAATATTACTAAAATCTCCACCAGGGAATAACCGAGCTTCCCTTTCTTCTATTTCGCCATTTTCACCTTCAATAATATGCAACTGTATCTTCCCTTCGAACAAAGCAGATGCATAATCACTGTTCATTTTAATACTCTGAACAGTTCCCAGGTACTCCCGGTCATGTATCGGAATGGGTCCCCTTTCACCCAAACCGTAAAACCAAGCTCTGTTATTCATTCCAACGGCAAGATGATAAGGGCCAAGGGAAAGAAAATTAGGTTCTACATCGACTCTTAATGTTGTGGACATCTCCTGTTCAACTACGTGTGATATAGTAACTTCCAACAAAGACGTAAGGTGTGCTATTTTAGTGCCATAACTGTCTCCGAGAACTGGCAATTTTGTTAAATACACATGAAGAGCATTCCCAGTTCCTGTAACAGCTAACAACTGGCCGTCGTCAGTCCATTCCATCCATTCGAGACCTCTTTCGTCATCAACTGTAATTATCGATTCAACTTCTTGAAGATCATTTAAATCATAAATCTTTATGGTATTATCACCACAAGAGGCAACTTTGTTATTTGGCAAACAAGTAGCCATATGACTTAAATTATCCTTGTGACATCGAATTTGGAATAATTCTTGTCCAATTTCTTTAATATGGGTCGATATAACTATGAAGTAACCATTGGTAAATCCTAAAAGGATATACCCATCCCCGTACCACTTATAATCAATAATTGTGCCGTATCGGTCTTGAAATGCTAGTACGATTGGATTCTCAGGATCGTGAATATTGAGTAGAAACAAAGTCTTTCGGTTCAGTACCAAACTAACGGTATTTTCTCCCGACACTCTCTCATCTTGTTTCATAGACGAGAACTGTACTAGGGTTGGCTCAGATTTCAAATTACTTTGGCAAATTGTATCACCATCATGATTACTAACAGTTAAAAGTTTATCTTCACCCACTAGTGCGAGGTAATTCTGAAAGCTCCATCCACCCGAAGTGATGCGCTTACTGTGCTTACCAAGTATAGGAACTTTCCTAGAGGTGCGATGATTATAAATTAAAAGATTCCCCTTTGCAGTACCGATGGCCAGAGAGAGTTGAAAGGCTTCTTCGTTGCATTTTGACAAAACAAGAAACTGAATTGCCGAGGTCACATCATTTAATTTCTGAAAAAACTTAGCTACCATCTTAGCACCTTCGGTCGATCTTGTTTCTCTCACAATCCTCACGGCTTCTTCTGGATTATTTAAATGTTCTAGCTGAATTCTGATAACGCTTTCATACTCCCGAGCAACTTCATATGCTCTAGCTGCTTCTCTATAATGCCCGTCAGCTTCTTTGGCCTTAGCATACTGTGCATGAATCTTTGGAGATGTCACATTTGGCAACAACTCTCCAACTTTGTTCCAATTTTTCAGTTTTATATATAAAGCAGCTGATTTGTCATACTGATGACCTCTCTCGTACAACACCGCTGCTTCCGAATACTGCTTCATGCTCTCTAAAATCTCAGCACACTCCCTCTTCAGAGTTTTATTCGACATCTGCTGAGCAATTTGTATTCCTCTTCTTATATCACTGCATCTAATGGACATTCGTGCAATTCCTGCTTTGCAGGCATCATTGTGTGATGTTTTGGCTGGATCATTGGTAATCCCATTCTCATAATGAACTAAAGCATTGACATAATCACCAACAAATTCCAACTGCTGAGCATATTCTCGAGATATAAATGGTATTTGATTAGGTGCCAATTTTTTTGCCAGTTGTAGCGCTTGTTCCCAATGAAGTAGATCTCGTCTCATGTCTAAAGCAGCAGACGGTGTTCCGGAAGCTAAATAAAGATCTTGTGCAAGGTTAAAATTGTTTTGAAACATTGCTAAATGGCCAGCGAGGAGATTGCGATCCTCTATGTTTTTTACTCCTTGTAGCGACCAAACCATACCTACATCCCCGATATGCCTAAACACACGGATCGCTAGATCCACATCTAAATTATAAATTGCACTGTTTCCTAGGGACACCCAATCATCTTTATTATTCAATAACTGGCAGATTGTCCAAGCTTCTCTAAATCTTTGCAATTTTAGGCTTTTCTGTAAGGCATCTTTCATCTCTGCAGGTGAATAATCTTTCAGCTTCTCTTCTAACTGATGAGTACTTAGTGTAAGTGTTGTAACTTTTCCACTTTGAGTCTGACAAGTCAGCTCACCACTGTATAAAAGCAGAGGATACTGTCCTGGTGGAAGCTTTGTTTGACCTACTAATTCAGCTTTAGGGCCCTCAATAGTTTCTTTGGCATGAACGAAAGTACCTATTTGAGTATCATCATATGCAATGAAGATTCCTTTATCTATTGGCCACTGATCCCAAAGAATGCCTCTAACAGTTGCCGGAAAATTCACAATTTGGATTATTTGATCATTCACAGGATTATAAATAAATCCATCAGTCTTATCATCCACAATAACAAGTCGTGTTCCCGATGCATCTGCATGTATGTTTCTTACCCCCATCACGTGACGATACTCGTTAACCATTTGCCAATCTTCTAACAGAAAAAACTGAATTGAACCCGTATCAGTGCCATAGATAAGAAAATCATTAGTCATTATGTGGCAAGTGATGCGAATATTACTAAAATCTCCACCAGGGAATAACCGAGCTTCCCTTTCTTCTATTTCGCCATTTTCACCTTCAATAATATGCAACTGTATCTTCCCTTCGAACAAAGCAGATGCATAATCACTGTTCATTTTAATACTCTGAACAGTTCCCAGGTACTCCCGGTCATGTATCGGAATGGGTCCCCTTTCACCCAAACCGTAAAACCAAGCTCTGTTATTCATTCCAACGGCAAGATGATAAGGGCCAAGGGAAAGAAAATTAGGTTCTACATCGACTCTTAATGTTGTGGACATCTCCTGTTCAACTACGTGTGATATGGTAACTTCCAACAAAGACGTAAGGTGTGCTATTTTAGTGCCATAACTGTCTCCGAGAACTGGCAATTTTGTTAAATACACATGAAGAGCATTCCCAGTTCCTGTAACAGCTAACAACTGGCCGTCGTCAGTCCATTCCATCCATTCGAGACCTCTTTCGTCATCAACTGTAATTATCGATTCAACTTCTTGAAGATCATTTAAATCATAAATCTTTATGGTATTATCACCACAAGAGGCAACTTTGTTATTTGGCAAACAAGTAGCCATATGACTTAAATTATCCTTGTGACATCGAATTTGGAATAATTCTTGTCCAATTTCTTTAATATGGGTCGATATAACTATGAAGTAACCATTGGTAAATCCTAAAAGGATATACCCATCCCCGTACCACTTATAATCAATAATTGTGCCGTATCGGTCTTGAAATGCTAGTACGATTGGATTCTCAGGATCGTGAATATTGAGTAGAAACAAAGTCTTTCGGTTCAGTACCAAACTAACGGTATTTTCTCCCGACACTCTCTCATCTTGTTTCATAGACGAGAACTGTACTAGGGTTGGCTCAGATTTCAAATTACTTTGGCAAATTGTATCACCATCATGATTACTAACAGTTAAAAGTTTATCTTCACCCACTAGTGCGAGGTAATTCTGAAAGCTCCATCCACCCGAAGTGATGCGCTTACTGTGCTTACCAAGTATAGGAACTTTCCTAGAGGTGCGATGATTATAAATTAAAAGATTCCCCTTTGCAGTACCGATGGCCAGCATTGGAGTAGTTTTCGACCACAGTAACAATGATAATGTATCCCTCAAACCCGTATCAACTTGAGACATTCTGTTCGAATTAGCATCCCAAAGGATAAGAACCGGCGAACGATCATTAATGATACCCAAAATATCACCATCTTTATCCCATGCCAAGCCCGAACACATTCCAGGTAAGCTAATCTGCTCCTTTCTATCACCATGACGATCGTATATGTTCACAATATGATCGTAACCAGTAGTCACTAGATAATTGCCTCCACCTTTCTGCCAAGTAAAATATACGGGCCCCACGCCGTGCGTTTTTTCTGGAACCGTAAACACTCGCTTCATATTGTCGAACTTAAAACAGGTCGAAATGCTCGGGTATTAATAACATCAACCTCGTGTACCACGTAGTGCTAACAAAGTTTACCAAGAATAGATCATATAACATGCTGTAATCTGACAAAATATTGCTTCTGTAACAAGAAAACTGTAATATCTTGGATTAACAATTAAAATATTCCAAGAAATGACAAGACACAATGATATTTCTGGACGGAATGTACAGGTTCCCCTTGAAATTGTTCACCTGTAAACTGAAAGAATGACCTTTGATTCATTAATGTATGTATTCTGCTATACTTGAAGGCACCTTTTCTTCTTTAAATCATCAATTCAGCACCAAAAACAACTTGTTTGCATTCTTATAAGCTTCAAGGCATCTTTTATTCTTCCATATCATCATTTAAGTCATTTTAAGCTAACACATATTAACCCTAACGATAAGTATGAAGCACCACTTCTAAGTTCTCATTATATAAATACGAGATAAGAACACCCTGTGACAATGCAACATTCACGCCCATCACGAACATGTCCACCCTAAAAATAAGTTTAAGATGCTAAACTGCATCTAAAACGATTCTAAATCATCAGCATGATGCTGATTATATACAAATTTTATCTTATCGATCGTTCGACATGACTTAAATCGATAACAACAACACGTGCACAATCAATGGCTACGTTTCCGTCTCTTGCCACTAGAGGCGCCCCTCAAACTTTTATTTATTTTTATTAAAAAAATTGCGTATGATAATTCAGAGATTTTAAATATTCCACTTTTAATAGCTCCGCACTGAATGGATGTTTTCACAGTTGCCATGGTAACAAATTATCCGGAGGGTTTTTTTCTCCCTAAGATCTTGCCAAGCATCTCATTATTGGAACATTCAAAAGTTTTATTCTTGTTACATTGAAAGTTATTGAATCCATTTGAAAGATTCGAGGAGTTTTATAAGAGAATTTTATCGATTTTTTATTTTAAATTTCCTTTTTTTCTTCCTTCGTGGCTTTAATTTAGGAAGTTCGGGCCGATGACGTCACGGATTTTAAAAATTCAAACTTTTGATTAGATGTGTTACATTGTTTTCGGTTGTCTAAATTTAAAATTATTCGTCGTTTTTTATTATTAATGGATTCTGAGCAGCAAAATTTAAGCAAAGTAAATAAGAATAAAGCTGAAAGGTAAGTATAAATAAGCGAGAAGAGCAGTGGTTAACTGAAAAACCAAGAAAAGTAGGCAAAAATCAACAATAGGGAAGTACAGGTAACCCCCGTATAACACGGGAGTTACGTTCCAAAAAAATTGCCGTGTTATGCGAATCCGTGTTATACGAAACAAACAACTAGTGCCCCCTAGGGGGTTAGGTTACAAAAATTAAAAAAAACATGCTATTAAATCCTTATTTAAATCGGATTTATTATTCGTTTTTTAATAGGTAAAATACTTATTTATTATTTAAGTAAATATTTTACCAGAGGATTATTCATCCTACATGATGATCTCAGCATGAGCATCATCNTCTTCGCTTGCCACCTTTTCGTTACACATGGGGCAAACCTCGTGCGATTCCAGGATCTTCAGACAGTAAACAACATTTAAATAATGACACTGATAGATTAACGTCATTCTGGCTCCTAGCCTTAATAATAAAATATATATTAATATTAATGCAGGAAAAAGGAATAATACCAAAAATATAGGCAAAATGGTGAGTATGGTCTACAATATCCCTTGCGTAAAAAGTATACATGAAGGAAATGGGAAGGCTTTTTAAATGCAGGCTAAAAGAGGCTGTAAAACTTAGGCATGAAAAGTCACCCCCGTATGCACACATTTAAGAAAAATGTTGTGATATCGATAAAAAAAAAAAAAAACATTTTCAAATTATAAAACATAAAAATCATATAAATTTAATTAACGGTATGTTAGTTAATACAAATTGGGACAATGTAGACAAAATGGCAAGAATAGTAATAAAAGATTTTGGATGATATTCTCGTCTGCTTAGTGCTTGTAAGTCGAAAGAAATGTGGCCGTTCACACCGGGTTTTGAAAAATACGCTTTTTACTTCTCTAAATTTACAATGCATTTCTACAGGGTGTCCCAAAAGTTTCCATACATACAAAGGTGAAATGTAACTTTATTCACTAAACATTAAAATGTCAATGGATTGATGGAGTAAGGCAATGGAACACATGGGTGATCTGCCAATTGGGTAACTTCTAGCAGGATTTCCTATGCTATATTCAGGTGTTAGACACGTGAAAGAAACCCAGAACACTGCATTGGTCAGGCACAAACAAATGACCATCTACTAATGTTCAATGGTTTTATTTATTCGGCCGCTGGTGGGCTTGATTTGAGTCAATGTAAGGAGAATTTTCGAAAACTGTATGTTAATTATATAATGTTATTTACAAATTACAAAATACTATACAACTAATGACAGCTGTCATTAGTTATATAACTAACAATATGTGCACACATCAATGCAGTATTGATTTGTACACATCCAGCCTAACCAATATATTTAAAAGTTCAATTCTGATGAAATTTTTACATATTTTAGAGCATTTTACACACAATATCACTTATGTTACCCCTGCTTCAGTCAGTAACTTATGAAGAAATATCCATCAGCAGCATATACAATGAGTGATTTTACAGTCAAGAGATATTGAAAAATGTAAACTATCCATTTAAGCATTAACCAACTTAAAAATTAGTGAAATTTATGTGTAAAAACAGAAATTTACACCAAAATCACTAGTAATATGTTTAATATTAACTTTATGTATAGTTTCATGTGTATTCAAGTCATATTTTGGTTAATGTTTACCTAGGTAGTCCAAGATGGCTGTACAGTGGGGGACCCACGTTCTAACCTAACCTATTGTAATAAATTAAGAAAATTTTCCTTTCTTCATATAATTAATTTTTTGAGTTATTTTACATCTTACATTAGTAATTTTGTTAATTTATTAGAATAGGTTAAGTTAGGTTAGAACGTGGGTCCCCACTGTGCGGCCATCTTGGACTACCTAGGTAAACATTAACCCATGCTTTTGATAACATTCGATAATTTATTGCATATTTTTTTTACCTGAAGACGGCCAGACATGCTGCAGGATGAGAATAGAGTCGATTTAATGTAACTTGAGACAGAGTTCTGAGGTATTCGTGTAGGTTACTACACTTTAATCCCTTGGAAGATGCCGTGCACATGTTTAGGATGAAAAATAAAACAGAAATTGATTAATTATAAACGTAAAATTCAAGTTATATCCTACACAAGAAACGAAAAAACCGGCAAATACGCCATATTGCCTAGACGTTATCACATGTTCGGTTTTATTCAGTGTTGCCGGATCGATTTGATATTTATTATTATTTTTTATGTAAAGTTTTTAAGTGTTGCCAGATCCACATTTTTTAAAAGCATTTTTTTCCGGCGAATCTAGTTACAAATAAAATCATATAAATTAAAAGAAAAATATTATAATTAATTTCATGATTATTTTCCACTTTATATTATTATTATTACTATTGGGGATATTCGAAAAATATAATGTTAGAAATCATTTTGTTTTAATCTTATATTAACGGTTCGTGTAATTCACTAAAATATATTTATTATTTCTAAATTTTGAGTTTGAATCGAATGACAAAAAAAATAAATAAATAAATATCACGGCATCAAATACATTTTTTTAAGAATTCTATTACAGTTCGCCGATACGAACTGCCGCCATTTGATTGGAATGAATCCAAGCGTCGACAATTTATTATAAAGCGGATTACTTAGTAAAGCAGTTTTAATACAGCTGGATAAGCAAACCAATCACGTAGCCCGTTTCAAATAAAACAGACCGTGCCATTAATTGTTATCCATCTGTATTAAAGCCGCTTTACCAGGAAAAGCGGTCATAATTTTGATCGATTTATGAGCTACCCGATGACCAAAACAGCTAAAGCCTACTGCTTTAAGGGATCATAGTTCCAATTCATTTGCAGGCCAAGCGATGAGCAATTCAATTCTTTATGCTGAATGAGGATACCATCATTTATCCCCATACTATGATCATATAAATTGTAAGGACTAATACATAGGAATGTAAGGACCACATAAGCTGCAGCTTAGAGCCTAACATGTTTACACGAAGGGCCTGTTATATATTTCTTGTAAGAAAAGACTGCTCACCACAGGATGTATCCAATACCTAGAATAGTTGGGAATCTGCTTCAGGTCCATACAGTAATTACAGCTTCACCACATTCATATAAGTAAGAAAAACTAGCTGTAATCTTGACTATATTACCATCAAACCAAACAAAAATGTACTGGCTATTTGTAGGAATGATTACACTGCTTGGTATATTCTATCAATAAACTTCTTTATTATATAACTATGTAATAAATTACATGCTTTGCATACGNTTTCTGTTAATATTATATTCCACTTTGTTGTATACTTAATAGAATTATTATACAAAGCAAGATGTAAAGCAGTTTAGGGCAAGTTGAGCACTAAAGCAATTCCAACATAAACACTACTTGTGTGAGGTTTTAAGGGTCAGGATGCACTTCTGTATGCATAAACTCCATTATCAATATTTCTGTTTTCAGATAAGTTGCTCTCTGCAAACTTTCAAAAACAGAATAGTCCCACACTATAAAGGAATGTATTTTTACAAGTAGAAGACAGAGAAAGAAAGACTTTGATGGCTAAAGTCTTTCTTTCTTTCAAATAAACTGGCACTGACAGCAAAAACCTTTAATTATTTTACAAAAAGATATGTATCAGGTGATAAAGTCACACCTCTAAAAGAGACTATTCTGAAAATCATTATTTTGAAAAAATATATGCAATTAATTATGTTGTATTTTGTGTTATTATTTAAATAAGACATAAAAACTTGTGTAATTTACCTTTTAACTTTAAAGTACAGTCCAAACATAGATCATAATTGGTTATTTCCTTGGAGTACTCCATAACCCATGTATCCCTGATAAGGTCATCACCATTTGTTAAAACCACTCCTAATATAGCTTGTCTAGCTATACCCTCACATACATAGCATCATTCTTGTAAAGCACTAATGAATGTTGTGAATACATCTACCAATGTTATTGTTATTACCAAATCAAAGTTAAATTCCTCAGTAAAACTCATTACTAAACATAATTCTCATTGTTTGTGTTTGTTCATTCCAGTGACATCTTCAATTTATGTACAGTTGCAAATGGTAGCACTAAATCAAGCTTTGACTGTAAATTTAGTGTTTGAGCATACAATCATCTTCAGAGATACGTGAATTAAATGAATACAGTTACTATTGCAACTGTATTTGGTCTATTCATTAGATGATGAGCATAGACTCAAAAGCATTGCAGAGTATTTGTAAATGGAGAATATACAATGTTATAGTAACAAGAGATCTAGACATTTTGTTCAAATTAGAATCCAAAAGCAAGGTAAATAATAATAACAACATTCAAAATAATGCAATCATTAACTTTAAGTGGATACACACATTCAGTATTCGCTGAGTGCTGAGCAAACATTTGGCTGATACCAAATGATTTACCTCTGATTTGTAATAAATATTTACCATTTCACACTCCTTGTCAATGTAGGGTGTCAAATCAAAGATAATGAATGAGCAATTATTTAGCAAT